TAATTTTTAAACCTTAAATAATACCTTAAACTTCTTAATATAAATACTAAGTACATGTTTTATAAGATATCACTACAAGTAATGTGTTACTTACGACTGATAGAAAATAAATAGAGATTCATAATTTTGTAATATTGTTGATTAAAAGTGTTCACATAATTCATAAATATTTTTATTTATATATTTTTTTACAATATTGATTGATTCGCTGTAACCCAACAGTAAAATGTATGATGATTTCATGTGTTGATTCACTGTGCCCCAATAAGATCCACTGTACCCCATGCGGAGATCCAATGTACCCCATATATGGGGTACAATGAATAATTTCCCTCTTTTTAAAAAAACCTTTGCTTTCAGAAAACTATTAATATTATTGCTAAAGTTGAACTAGATTTATATAGCCAACTTAACACCTCATTGCTCTACATATAAATATTGGTAATTTATACTTTATTTATATAGGTAAACTACATTTGAAAAAAAGTGATCCAGTGGGGGGTACCTTTCCCCTACTTATGCGGTGTGTAAGTTTTAAGTGATACTTAATTCAGTTGGTTGATGATTTTATAAACCTTCTGAGTTCTAAATTACATTTTTTTTTTGTTTTTTGTGCTAACATAATTTACAGGATTACCCGCTAGGTTAATCTGAAGATTACCTGAAAATTACGTCAAAATCGCTCCAGCTGTTTTGCAGTCCATAGAAAACATACATACACACATCGATTTTTATTTTATTTATTTAATCAACAATTTAAGTTTATTTATTGCTCAGAAAATGGAGTCTTTTAAGAAATCTTAGTGACGCAACGACTGCAGCGCCACTTATCGGATCCATTTGTGAATTCAAATCTTGCAGGGACCCATTCGAACATACACAAAATATATCATTAAAATCGTTCCTGCCATTTAGGAGACGATCAGAGGCACACCGACTACATTGCCTCCTACTGGGTCCAATTGTGTTTTCAAACCACCCAGGAGTCCATTGAAATATACACACAAAATTTGATCCAAATCGGTCAAGGGGGAATAGGTTAACAAACACACGTACAGAAGAATTATATATATTAAGATATTCTTTCCGCATATGATATTCTATAAATATGTGATTTTAATATGCCTAATATGTCTTATTTAATTAATGATTTGTTTTCATTTTGCCAAATAAGTTTTACTTCAACCTCATGTAAAGGTAACATGCACTCATTTTTTTTCGCAAAAACAACTTTAAGTTTATATTTAAGGTTCAAATTACATTGCTGTATATTTATTTCAATTAGAATAATTACCTAAAAACAATTAGTGACAGTTTTATGAGAGCTGTTTTTCGTGAATTTTTCCGATGTTTAAAATAGTTATTATGCTATTCGGGGTGAAGACAAATCCAACAAAACAAAAATAATACAAATCGGTCCAGCAATCCTCGAGTTATAAGTGTTGTAACAAACCCGACTTTGTTTTATATATATATAGATCTTTTGATATGTACTTATGTACATATTTATCATTACCAGTGTTTTATAAATGTACGTTATACGTCATATTGATACTATGAACTTTACAATATGCTATGAACTAGATATTAAGTTCCTGAGAAGGAATAATGCGAAGGTATATTTTGTAACTCATATTAATTTCCTCTTAAATGCGTTCGTGGATAAGTGCATTTTTATATATTTTATTTTTTAGTTTCTGGATTAGACCTTTTTATCAAATTTCCAAAGCCAATCACTTTTGCCTTTTATATATATATAGAAGATATTACTAAACCCTCCTATAATCTTGGTGCGCGAATCAAACTTGCACTAGTCCGATTATAAACGCGGAGTAACATGTACACAGACGGTGTTTTTATTAATCAATTAAGACCTGGATTATTAATGGACCTGGGTTATAAATAGCATATTATCTAAGTTTCAGTAGGGCAGTAGAAGGTACAATATAATCTTCGCATTCTATGTGAATACAAGACTATACTATGAACAAAGTTTTAGGTTAAATTGAATAAGTATACTTAAGAAGTACCTTACAATAAATATATTGATTAAGTAAGAACATAATATATTGACTTGGTCACTGTACTATTTATAAATACACGAAGTAGTTAAAATGTATAGTTGGGTTGATCATTTACATAGGTCATACTTTTGAACTTGCTATAAAACAATGCTGCTGTTAAAATATGTCGAAAGGTATTCAGTAAATATTAACATCTCTGAAGTGACCTACGAGTGTTATAAATAAAAATGGTGGAAGTTAGCAAATTTTTACTAGATAAATCTGGTATATGTGATTATTCCTGTGGTTATATATTTCATCCATGGACAGATAGTTGTAATGAAGCTTTTTTGACTATGTTTCGTTTGTGTATAAGAGGAAATTTAATATTTTGGTTGCCAATACACGGTGTCCCGCTTGTAAGTTTATTATTGTTTTTATAGTATTAACAATAATAATAAGCCCGCAGGACAGGTTATGGTTAGCCGTTGGTAAGTGTCAACACTACGAATCAGAAGTTTCCAGGGGTAAGCCATTTCTGTCCCTCCCCTTTGGCTTGCCTTCATTGGACGTCCGGAGTGGAGTGGAAGAGCTAAGAGCTTGAAAGGATGGAAATGCTTAATCCGCAAAATATTTAAGAAGCTCGCACTCACTATGGTGAGTGTACAAGAACAAACCAGTGCAAGTGCAACTCTTAACCAACTACGTTGATGTTGCGCCCGAGGCACTACACCGAGGTGCATTCTGGGGACCCATCTAGGTGAAGGTCAGTCTTCGTCTACTTAATTAAGATTTAATCTTGAGACGATCAAGAAGGCAGAAACTTGTAAGGGGTAAAATAGGGGCTGAAATTTTGTATTGGGAACGCCATTTCTCAAGTTAAGGACAAAAAGTTTATTATGTCATAAAATTTTGGTAGAAAAAAAAAGAATATTTTGACGCTAATCAAGGTAAAATAGGGGATAAACAGAAGTTTTATTTAAGTACTTACCTACTTTTCTACACGTATATATAGTTATCTATTCCATACTAACCGTTAAAATGTACCTAGGGATGAACCCAAGCGAAGCGAGGGTGAGTCGCGAGTACATAATGTTTTTGCTGACTAGATTAGTCAAGAAACTACGGTATACAAAAGCTCATCTGCTCACGTAGTCAAAAATAATTTGTTTTTAATTATTTAGCACTTTCTTTAAAATTTACACTCTGGTTATGGTAGCGCTATCTTAATTAATTTGTTATTGTAGGTCATTTTTCTTATACCGTGGTGTAGCAAGCACTCGCTCTTGGATTGTTCTTGTGAGTGTTTATGGTAGCGTGTTTTGCTGTCGCAAAGTAGGCAGAGGGCGCCTGCATCTTTTTTTTCTCTCGCACTGTTGGTTTTGATACTCAGATGCCGCCCATATACATTCTCAGAGACCATTTTAAAGACAATGTTAGACCCACGCGTCTCTACGCTCTGGGTCGTAATTATTGTTCCCATACCATTAATACCATTCTCATACCGAGGGAATGGCTATTTACACGCCTGCCACTTCTCACTGAGATGGTCCTCTACCCCGCATATTCAAAGGAAAGAATTTGCCTTACTCTCCTGCCATATGTCGCTATCACTATTATCCCTAGTATATTATAAGGCTCTATAGCGTTTAGTTTTTTAATTTTATTTTAAATTTAATTAAAATTACAAATTGTGCAGTGACATGGTACTAAGAAAATGGATATAATTTGTTCCCAAAAGACAAAAACTCAAGAAATTGTGGACTAAAGCAATAAGACGATCAAAATTAGCGAAATCACAATCTTCATATTTAAAACTATGTGGACATCATTTTAACGAAAGTTATTTTAAAACTCTTATATTGTCTACAGGTGAATATTTGTTTATTTTTTGTACTTTTTTACATATTAACTGCAAAGTTTCATACAAACATTAATCTTCCATTTTACGCCATTATGTAATTGAATTTCGAAAAATGCTAAAGCATGTATTTATTTAATTGCATTGAAAAGCCTTAATACCAAGTTTCGAGTAATTCTGATCTGAAACAATTATTTGCTCATCTAAACTTTATTACCCCTTTTTACGCCTTTAAGGGATGAATTTTGAAAAAAATCAATTTAATATATTTCTTATTTTTTATCTTAAACACGACTTTCTCTATATTTTACATTAAGAATGACAGAGTTTTATACAATATTTAACCTCCTATTTTACCCAGTTAGGGGATGAATTTCAAAAAATCTTTCTTATCGGATGCCTACAACCATGAACGAATTCATGCCTACAACGTACTCGTATAAGAAATATGTCCTTCTAAGTTCACATTTCTACGACCGGTGGTTTAGGTTGTGTGTTGATCCATCAGGCAGTCAGGACTATTACAGGATGCACCTCTCCTTCTCAACTCTTCCTTCAGCTGGTCTAACTTCCAGGTACAATACATTGTACAGGTAAGATGCAAACACAATAAAAGCAAAAAACCCGATACAAAAGAGATATCATAATAAATTGCTTTACTTCAGACTGACTGTAAATAGATCATACATGTAGCGCCCTACTTTGAAGAAATCTTCTCCATTCAAAGACTACTTATTGTCATCTGTCAGATATCATAATTTGACAGCTGATATAAAATCAAAATGAGCACTAATGGGAAGTGGGAATATGAATTTCCGAATGGAATGATAAATGTTTGGACATTCCATTGACGCCGTTGTTGATACTTGACATATTAAAATGTTTTTATTTATTTATTGTAGAATCATATATTAGCGTAAATTCATATCACGTTCTCTTGAATTGTCAATTTGTACAACTTGTTTAAGATTTCACTTTTCAGGCAGTCAGTGATTGTGCTCGATACTTGGCAATCGTCGATTTTGTTTCACGGGATATATATGTACATATTTTAGTCACGATAGAAATTGCGTATGTAAATTGTTTTACACGATTAAAGGTTTAGTTCATTTGTAAAGGAGTGGTTATATTTAAAAATGGTTGAAGCTAGTAAATATTGGTTTGATAAAGCCTGTAGTGCTTGTGAATGTCACACATTAATCCATCCTTGGACATATAAATGCTCTGATGCTACAACAACAATGCTGATGAGTTGTATAAAAGGAAGCTATAAATTTTATGCCATGGTTTATCTTGTAAGTATTTTAGTACATACAAAATATATGATTCTTACATGGGCAATTTTACTGACCACTTTAAATAAATCTTTTATTTAATTGTAAGCTCTGTGAGTGAAAATAAAATTATATTGATAAGTTCATGTCTTTCTTATTTCATTATGCTCTTTTTTAATCTCTAGTACATACTATAATATCTTATCAATCCAAATTGATGATCTAATATTTTAATCATATTTTCGGCGTATTGATTACAATATATTTTCAAAGTAAAAGAGAAAAATTCAATAATTATTGGATACACAAACTTTAAGCCAGAATAAAGCTCTATTACTAAAAGCTGTTTTAATTTACACCACTTCACATCACATTTAATTAACATCACTATAGAACATAGGCAAAGTAAAAAATAACATTTTTCTTTAAGATCTTTAATTGTAGATCTAAATTTTTAGTTTTTTCTAGAGTTGTAATTTGAAAAACAATTTTATTCTTGAGCTTTATATATACTTAATATGTACTTGAATATTTCAAAGATTTCTATTTTTATTTCTTTTATCAAAGATATTTTATCAAGTATGTATTATTCTTTTTTAATTTACTAGTGTATTATTTACTATTTAATATCCGAGATATTTGTGTTTTTTTATATATGTACATATAACATATTTTTTGATCCAGTGTGAGTCTAGTCAGAGACCTTATCGAAGTTGAATGTGTGGCCAGGTTATATATATATATATATATATATATATATATATATATTCATCAACTTGTGTAATTCAATTAGTAGGTGGGTAGACTTCACCCCTGAAAAAAATGAGTCTTATGGTATCTTAAGCAAAATAGGTGCATAGTTGTCGAGTTGCAGAAACTAGCATGAACATACCATACCATCTTAAGTCTTAACATTTGTGTTCACATAATAATTGTATAATTGTTTCAGATTCAAATATTAATGAGAGGCAAAAAGTTGAGCAAGAAGGAGATAATCGAGCAATTTAAGCTATATTTCAAATCGGGAATATTTGGTCTCACAGTTGGTAGCTCCTTTGTAACATTAAATTGTATTTTTAGGTAATTTAAAAATTATTTTATTATATATTTATGTAAAATATAATTTTGAGGATAAATAATATTGCTTTGTTTAATATGTAATAAATTGATATTAGGGAATATAAGGGAATTTTTATATTCACCACATTATACATGTTTGCCCTAGTTTTGCCAGGTTAGATCTGTATTTAAGAAATTTAGTTCTCCAGAAATAGATAAATGTAAGGAACTATATTTGCTTTGTCAACACGTTACAATACAACCCATTAAAATTCACCATACCTGTATATATAATAAAATAGTCTATCTATCTTATCATCTATTCGAACCCGAATGAAGTGAGGACGACCAGCTAGTATATGATATAATATTTGGTATGTGCCTTTGCAGGAAGCTATTCTTCAGTCAGTTCAATTATTACACAACGGTTTTATTGCCGTGCACAGTTAGCGGTTTGGCGGTTTACTTTGAACCCCCATATAGAAGAGTGTTAGTGGTCAACTTGTTTGTTAATCTGGTAAATATGTTTGAACTTTTTAAACACATTAAAAAGAAATTAAATTATTATATATATATTGTTGCTACTTGCTAATATAATGCACATGTATGAAATGGGACACAAACAGAAAATATTTGGAATCAAATTCCAATGAAAACATTTTTATAGCATAATATCTTCTTACATTTATGTGAATATATTTTGATATCTTAAATATATTTTCGCGGAATTGACTTATTTCTATTTAAAAATTAGTTATGTTGTAAAAATAAAAAAATATTCACTTTTTTTATATAAGTATTTAAATTATTGAAGACAACTCAGATGTAGTGAGTGATTGAATCAATCTATATCATAATACTTTCTCAAATTTATGCTGGTATTCGACATTTTAAATAAAACTATCTTTTCGGATTTTTTTGCGGATTTATTTATTTTTTAATTTTTATGATTGGTTCCCCATAACCAAATTTAACCAAACGCCACAATATAAATAAAAATGCATTATTTGAAACTAGCATTGCCCGCGGCTCCGCCCGCGTTCAGATGACCAAAAACCAAATACTTAGTTTTTACATATTAGTATACTCTTACATTGCAGTTTTTGTGTTTTTTCTTAGAAATGAAACATTTTCCCGCGGTAAAAAGTATTCTATATATTGACCCGGATAACCAGCTATCACCATACCAAATTTCATCAAAATCCCTCCAGTGGTTTATCTGTGATGCGGTAACAGACAGACAGACAGACAAAAATTCTAAAAACTACAGATTCGGCCTCTGTATCGATAATAATGTCTATTTCAATAAGATTTTCCAAAAAATATTTAATGTACAGATTCGGCTTAGTTACAATTTTATTATATGTATGATGTCAATCTCTGTCGGTAAATAAAATATGAATAGTTCATGCTTCTGAATGATAACTACAAAAATTACTATGACCTTTACGTGCCTATATTAATCTTATGTTGAGCCATCATCTTAATTTTTATTGCTACCAGATTAAATATAAACCAAAGAAAAATTTATTCCAATACTTTTTTATTGGATTGTTTTGCATAACTAACTATATAGGTATTTCCTTTTTGCCAAAAGTTGTGGGTTTGATTCTGTGGAACAAAAGTTTCTCCTGCATTTTTTATTTTGATTTCATTTAGGTGTTTGAGTATTGGTTGCGTACATTGGAAGTAAAAGGATGGCTTCGACGTACACCTGGGCGCGAAACGATTATATTCATGCTCGGTAGTGCTGTTTTTTTCTATCTCATGCGATTGGAAAGAGAGAACACTAAACGGACGCCATTGTTTTGGTAATTGTATAACTTTATTTTTTTATTAATTTCTTTTGTTAATATTGGAATATTGGTTAATGGAGGAGGTTATTCTTTTAGAAAGAAAAGATATGTAAAACAATGTTTTGTTAACTTCAAACTATAACGCATATATACGAAATATGTTACCCTATATCACTGTAAGAATTTAATGAATTTGAGTCCAATTCGGAATGGAAATAGTCTGTTATACTTATATGCTTTTTACCGTCGTACCGACCCCGAGAACCAAGACACGGACAAATAGCTAATATAAAGCTGTAGGTACTTAAAAAACAAACAGCATATAAATTCTGGTGTTCTTCTAATTCTCCTAAACAGCTTAACCGATTTTGATGTTGTTTTTTCTGTACTTATGGAGTCAATGGTCAGCTGGACGATGCTTAGCTATAGTTGGACCTGATAGAGCTGTTGTCGAGATACAGTTTCTTTTTTAATTTTCTGACTAGAGAGTTCTCTGACAGGATAATATCTGTCTCCCAGATTCGCTAGTATCTTATATAATATTTTATATGAAAATGATAACACGAGATATAATATTTTATATGAAAATTCGTTTTAGGTTCTTTACACCTCCACGAGTGTCCAAAGAAGTAGGCGAGCCCGTACATGGCATCGAGGGGAGAAGTCCGGCGTGCCCACATAAAGGACCCTGTATGAATTACATATTTAGGGTAAAGTAAATATGCTTTATAATATTTATAATATTTTCTAACATGAGTGCCACTTGCCTTACGGTGAAGGAAAACATCTTGAGGAAACCTAAACCATCAAAATCCCTCCAGTGGTATTTTCGTAGTACGGTCACAGACAGACAGACAAACAGACAAAAATTCTAAAAACCATATATTCGGCCTCTGCATCGACAATAATGTTTATTTCACTAAGATTTAAAAAAAAATATTTAATGTACAGATTCGGTTTAGTTACAATTATATTATATGTATAGATTATAACAATATATCAGTCGCTCAATCACGTCGTGTAATTATACAACTATTGTAGTGCAAATTATATATTGGGTATATTATCCTCACATTGTTCATACTAGTAATTACCTAAAGAGGCAGCTTAAACGCGCGTTTAACGCGCTTATCTTTGGAATTATTAATCGAGTTTGAAACATTCGATTTATAGAATGCCTGTACATTTATGCCTATGTGACCGTCTTAACTAGTATTTGTATCTACGATTTACCTAATAAGTTGACGTAAAGATTAAATTATTAAAATTTAAATATGTCATAGACTAACTGCTTATTATTATGTATAAATCTATTGTAATGCTATACATGCGATATTCTGTGACCTTTTCTATTGACTTATAATATGCGCACAATCAAGTGCCTTCAAATGTAATATAGGAAGATGTCCATCTGGTTTCTAACCACTTCTAACAAGTCAACGTTTAAAACTGCCTTGTTGGTCTAGTATAGTATTGGTATAGTATTTACGGCTCAACATGAGATCTAGGGTTCGATTTCCGTGTCAAGCAATAATAGTATTGGGGTTTCTTGTTGCGTTTCTCAAAAAACGTGTACAAAAGAACTCAGTTTCGTACTCTACCCTACCCCTGGTCGTGGCGGCTGACCGGCCCATACACTTATTATATGCGCTAATTAATAAATGTTCTGACCGATTTCGGCCACAGCGGCCAATAACACTGACACTAGCCATCCGAGCAGGAGATATTGTAGTGCACAAGTGTACGCGCAGACACTTATGAACTCTCTATTCCTTTCAATCTTAAACTCCGATTGGGTGATAATTTGACACGATCGGTGAGAGAACATGTCCAAGATGCTCTTCTATGCATGGGCGTCAAATACCGCCAATTTCTCAACTCCATTCTTACTTAGAATGTCTTAACAGTAAACCAAATATTTGGCTCGACCCGGGACTAGAAATCAAAATCAGAAAATAGCCTTTCGAATCCCTAGCCGTAAGCAAGCCACTAGACCAATGAAGCTAACGCATGCACTATAATATCTCTAGCATAAATAATGGCTGGTACTTGTAATTGGGATCACATGATCAAAGTGGGTCGGCGAAACATAGTAATTTTTAGCTAAATAATAGACGTAAGGGACTCAAGGCTACGGCTTTGTTAAGGATAAATCATTATAAATGTTGTTTATTTGTAAAATATATGTGATAATAATAAAATAAGCCTATAAGGATAAACTAGTATGATTGTGTTTTGATGTTAGTTTTGTGGTATTACCGTTTTGTAAGACGTCGTTATTGTTTCCCGTTTGATTTTGTGTTTTTTGCGCAATATATTTTTACCGCTGAGCTATAGAGTTAATTTTTGTATTTATCATTGGCTTGCATAATATCTATAATGACATTCAGAATATCTATATTTTTTTATTTATATTCTCGTAATTTCGAAGTTGTAAAATTATTAGGGTTTTATTAAACCTAGCAAAATATAATGTAAATCTATACAGTATATTCAAATAATAAAAGATTTTAATTATATGAGTAGTTCCGCTTCAGACGTGAAGCTGTAGAAGTCTAGAATCTAGATTCTACACAATGTTCCACTCAGGACGAGAGCGCGTCGTATCGTAGTTCGATATAAACGTAATTTGTTGAGATGAAATGTTTTAAGTAAATATTATAATGGATAATTATAACTACTATATAATTATAATGATCATTTTTATTCACTTTACTTACGAAATTGTAATATTTTTGTAAGTAAAATATAATAATTTGCATAGCAAAGATGTATTTTCGCAGTTGTATGTTGGACCTAGATCGAAGTGTGTAAAGCACTACACATGTAAATATGTTGTTGAGACATTAACACACAACACCATGTAGTTCCATGGTAAGCTACGAGGCCTGTGTTATGGATACCAGATAGTTGATACACTACACATATATAACTTTAAATACATATATATTATAAACCAGCAGAACGCGCGGTTTCGCTCGCGCAAAAACTCATCCCCTATTTTACCCCCTTATGGGATAAATTTCGAAAAATGCTTAAACACGTATTTATTTAATTGTTTTGAAGAGCATTAATACCAAGTTTCACGTAATTCTGATCATAAATAACTGTTGGGTTGTATTATAACGTGTTTTCCCGTGGGAATGAGATAATCACCCGCGGTAAAATGTAGCCTAGGTCAATCTCCAGCCTTCCAACTATATCCACACAAAAAATCACTGCAATCCGTTTCGATAAGAAGGAAAAACAAACAAATATATTTTCATATTTATAATATTAAATATGGATATAAACACCCATGACTGGACTACAAACATTCGTGCTCATCACACTAATTAATACCCCCAGCGGGACTCGAACCCGCGACCGCTGGCACAGCTATTAGGGTCACTACAAAGTGAGCCAGACGTGTCGTCATATATTTTTTTGTATTATTAATTTATTTAAATTATATTACTATAATCCGTAATATTTCGATTTAACGAATGTCACCCTTACTTTGCTACAAATTAACGAACTATAAACCAACAAATACAAAAAAAAGTGTGTATACTTCTTTGGCGTCACAGAACAAAAATAGCTAAAGATTTCATCCCGTATGACACAACTCTGTGAGTGTAAAAGGAATACAGCTAACTTCGTCATGTCGCTTTTTGGCTGTCGGTGTGCGCGCGCATCGTAAAAATTTTGCTTTCATATTTTTTTCTAAACGTGCCAAAAGAAGTATAACTTCAAAATCTATTCCGCCTCAAATTAAAACTTTTTTTTTCAATAATTAATATACAAATATATTCACTATATTGTTACATGCAAAATGAAAACCTTGACAAATGAATGAATATGATTGCCTCAAAGTTATTTTAAATAATCCTTATCTATACATATAATAAAATTGTAACCAAGCCCAATCTGTCCATTAAATATTTTTTGGAAAATCTTATTGAAATAAACATTATTATCGATACAGAGGCTGAATCTATAGTTTTTAGAATTTTTGTCTGTCTGTTACGGCATCAAAGACAAACCACTGGAGGGATTTTGATGAAATTTGGTATGGTGATAGCTGGTTATCCGGGTCAACATATAGGATACGATTTACCGCGGGAAAATTTCTAATTTTTGAGAAAAAAAAATTATAGGGCTAACGCTGGCTAATAACTATTTTTATCTATTTAAAACGTACCTAGCGACGAACCCGAGCGAAGCGAGGTTGAGCCGCTAGTTGTTAAATGTAACTATTGATTTGGTCATCTTTCACACAGAAACAGGAATTTATTAATGCAGTGATTTTTCATTAAAGGAAGTCGTAGCTCGATTGATTTTTGTAGGACCTTAGTTTGTTATCAAAAACACTACGTAGGATCACTAGTAATTTAATAAAAAATGTACGTGTAATTTAAAAAAAAACAAATTTAACGTCTTAACGTTTAACATCCCACTGCTGGGCACGGGTCTCCGTTCAATACGAAGATGATCAGGCCATAGTCCACCACGCTGGCCAAGTGCGGGTTGGCGGACAGCATATGTCTTTCGAAAACTTGCTAGGTTCTCTCAGACATGCAGATTCTCTTACGATGTTTTCCTTCACCGTAAGACAAGTGGTAATCACTTTGGAAATGATTCGCATATGAAAATATCAGAGGTTCGAGACCTGGATTTGAACCTTCTTTACTAGGTTTCCCAAGGGAGCGCGTTACCACGGGGCTACCACTACCTATCTAAAAAATATTAAGTTAATAGAAATGATATCTTGGTCTAGGACTACTATTATAAGTGCGAAAGTTTGTATGTGTGTGAGTTTGTATTTGTTAGTCAGTTACACTAAAGTCGACAGATTTGGATCTAGTCTGGTATATATCGAGTAGTCTGGAATAACAATAGACTAATTTTTATCCCGGAAAAATGTACGGTTCCCGTGGTATAGGTTTGTTTTGGTTTTCCTAGAGCCACTAGTACTTTAATTTTATTATGATATTAAAATTATAATTAAGTTAATATAATTAGTATGAAAATGTGTACATTTACAGGGCGCAGCTCAGTTATTCGGCGTCGGGGTCATAATGACGTCTTTAAGGACAATCATTCCCAGAATACTAACTCCGGCGAAAGCGCTGAAGTCCTTGAAGTTTTCACACTTAAAACTTGGATTGTTCTTTGGAGGTTACATTGGAATATATCGGGTTAGTAAATGGTTCAAATTTTATTATTTACCTACTTTATTATATATTTAGTATTTTTCTTAGGACAAATGATTTTTTATCATTAACCTACTTCCAAAAATGAGGAGGTTCTCAGTTCGTTGGAATCTTTGTTTTTTATGTATGTTCACAGATTACTCGGAGACGCCTGGACCGATTTGGATTTTTTTTTGTTTCAAAGGGTATACTGTCTAGGTGGTCCCATTTAAATGTTTATCGAAATAAATTATTTTTTAAAATAATTTGTTTAATCGAATATGTTATTAAAAAACTTTCTTCTTACAAATTACTTGCTTATTACGTCTACACTAAAAATGGAAAAAATAACTAAACGGGATTTTCATTTAGAATAGATACCTAATCAGATATTTTCGAAGTCTGTGCCAGCCGACAATATTTTGAGACATGAATATCTAATAGGTGAATATGATTAGGTATGAACTCTAATTATAATAGTTAAAATATTATTCATCAATTTGTGATGTAGTTTACGTATCGAAATATATTAGATTTGCTTTACATAGGTTTTATAGGCTTGTCTATGTTTATAGCTGATAGTGTGTCTTCTGTGCCGCGCGAATGGCAGAGATAGTGCGCTATATGCAATACCCGCGGGATTCCTCGCCGGAGCGGCCTTCAGAGCCTCACCGTCTACACCAATCGCTTTAGCACCAGTTACATCTACATTACAGGTAAAATATGTTTGCATTTCTTATTTTACTCTGTATTTATATGTGATTCTTCTATTTCTCTCGCAAGGTACGGGACATTAGAAACGGACGTTGGTATCGTCAAAATATTTTAATTTAAGGCTCCAGTATTCAACTCTTATTAAATGACTCATTGCTGGGCACGGTCTTCCACTTAATACGATTATTATTAACGTATACGTACAATAGCTATTATTTTAAATATTTTTTTGACTTGAAATATGTATTTTGTGACTGAACAAACTAATGTCTGAATACGATATACGTATGTATGTATTCAGCCCTTTTTAACGTCCCACTGCTGGGCACGGGCCTCCCTTCAATACGAGGGGGATCAGGCCATAGTCCACCACGCTGGCCAAGTGCGGGTTGGTGGACTTCACATGTCTTGTATTGGTGTATTGGTCTTGTTATGTTTTAAACAAAATTCATAGACTAATGTTAGTAATTATTAAAATCTTTTTATAGGTTTTTAATTTATATCTTCTTTGTTCTTCTAGATTCTTTTTTCATGGCTATATCAAAGAGGCACTATACCAGATAACTGGCCATTAGTGGAAATATTGTACTGCGTCTGTCAAGGACTGCTGTTCCACGCCCGCGTCATGCACGAAGATGTTTGCCCCAGATATATAATAAACTTAATGCGCACCGTCACTAGTAATAAGTAAGTAAATATCTTTTACTAAATTATATATACAAACAAAAACAAACCTATTCCACGGGAACCGTACATTTTTCCGGGATAAAAAGTAGACTTTGTGTTATTTCAAACTATAATCTATCTCTTCGCCTATTTCATCCTCAACCGTTCAGCCGTTCTGGAGTGAAAGACTAACAAACATCCATACACACAAACTTTCACATTTATAATATTAATACGGAAATACGGACTACCGAGTTATCGTGAGGTCGTTCGGGTGTGTCCCTAGGTGCCTGCCTGCTAGATGCATGTCAGGTCAGCGCTGGATTTACACTAGAAGTGGGAAAAAAGATCATTGTTAAAAGAAAATGTTTTTTTTTATTTCCCAAAAAGTGAACAATAAAAAAAAATAACTAGTACATTTTTCGAAAAAATTAAATTGTTTATAAAACTAATTATGTGCTTTTTTCAAAAAAAAAAACTTTTTACCCATTTTATGCAAAATTTCGATAATAGGGCGGTATTTTTTACTATGCTCAAGCGCGAAGCTAAGGTTGAATCTGACACTGCTAACAGTAACAGGTCTCGGACTAAAGATTAATATAGACAGAGCCCGCCAAAATAAAATTGTCAAAGTCAAAAATAGTAGCGTGATTTGCTGTTTATGCTACTATGCTCAATTTTGCCACACATATCGTCTATTTTTTTCAAAGAATAAAGGGAATTTTATATATATGTATTATTTTAAATTAGTGGGTATACAGTTTTTGAAATAGTGTTTAAAAATATTAATGTTTTACTTCACGTTTAGTTCAAATACACTCAATTCAATTCTGTATTATTCCATAGTCTGATAGTTATAGTTTATTCTACATAGTATGAGGATATGTCTCCTATGTTGTTTATTCATCAGAATAATCCCATATCTACTACGTATAGTATTTATTTGCGATGGAATGAGGAAAGCCATAATAAACACATATTAAAATATCGCTGTGACTCATTCATACTAATTGTTATGGTATTTCCATTAATATATTATTATGTACATAAATATTGTGAATATATTTAAAATACTAGCGACTCACCCTAGCTTTGCTCGGGTTCTTCGCCAGGTAGGTTTTAACGGTTAGTGATTCCCATACAAAATAAACATTTCCAGCACTTTGGATTTTCCATATTTTTTTAATTTTTAACCCACCCCTGACACACCCCCAACAAAACAAAAAAAGAATTATTCAAATCGGTCCAGCCGTTTTCGAGTTTTAGCAAGACTAACGAACAGCAATTGATTTGATTGAAAAATAATTTGCTAATATTATGCTATCTCTCTTTCAAGAGGAAGAGAACTAATGCTTAAAAATACAAAAGATATATAGTACTATTTTTATTATCCATATTTAATTCTCAAAAATTGTACATATATTAACTTTATACAATCTGTAGTATAGATCTACGTATACTAATTACTAACTAATATTATAAATGTGTAAGTTTAAATGTTTGGATGTTTGTTACTCAACCACGCCAGAGTGGCTGAACGGATCTGGATGAAATTTGGCAGAGAGATAGATTATAGTCTGGTATAGCACATAGGCTTTTATCCCGAAAAAATGTACGGTTCCCGTGGGATACATTTGTTTTTGTTCTTTTCGCTTCTTCTTCTTCTTTCCGCTTTCTTTCTTCTTTTCGCTAGTTATAATATAAATTATATAGTATAATATTTCCCTTATTTTTTAAATAAAGTAAACGATCTAAATGTCAAAGTAACATAAACAGCAGTTCACGGTTGATATTTATTTTGGCGGACTCCGTCTATTTAATTGAGCTATAACTATTAGTTGTGGTACAGCTTCGAAGTTATATTTGTATTGTATTTTGTTATTTAGAGCTTAAAATTAAATTACTTAAAAAAACTGAAAAACACAAATTATTGCAACAATAACTACCTACTACAGTGTAAAATAAAATGTTTTTTTTCTCTATACTTGGAATATATTGAAGTCAAAATTATATATATACAAAATTTAACTGCAAAAATTATTTATTATTATGTCCTTTTTCATAACCAAGTTTATTTTTATATATTTTCATTGTACGTCACGAATGTATCTTGTTGTTTTATATTAATTAAAAATGTATGATTACACATTTTAAAATAATATTTTAATACATATTTTTATGTGTTTTAAAACGTTCATAATATAGAGCTAAAAAAAGAACTTGCGTTTTTTGTTATATGCTCTTATATATAAAGCAGAGATTGTTTAGTGGAATAAATAAAACTATACGCGGGTGTAACCGTATGCAGAAACTAGTTTAATGAATACATTTTTTTTTCTATTACTCTTATATGTTTTGCTAATTACAAACACACCTAAATGAAATAATTTTAATTAAATTTTACAAGTTACAAGGTAAATTGACAAAAACTGTGCTGAATTATCGAATAGAATTCATAATTAATTACATAATTCAATTAAATAAGAAAATTACTTTCTATGTGTATGAAAAATGCATTTTGAGTTAGGATTAATCGGAATTTGATGTAATAATAATTTGTCAAAATATGTTTCTTTTTACTCGATTGCGGCGAAGCCCAAAGGAGGGTTATGTGTTTGACCTGTATGTATGTACGTATGTATGTATATCCGACCCTAATGTTCCCTCGTAATTAATAAACGAATGATAATTCATACGTCGCGTCGTTAGTTTCGTCTTGATAACGCTTAAGTAGATAACATTATGTTTCTTCGTTAACTTGTTCCCAACTTTTTAGTTTGTTTTTTATGCAGTAGGCTAATTTTTTTTTCTAAAAAATACAAATATATTCGTCATGATTTTGAATATGATATATGTGTATGTAAAAGAATTATTTTAGTTTGCTCACCCCCTTAAGGAATGATTTCCGGGATAAAAAGTATCCTATGTTCTTCCCAAGGTCTCAAACTATCTTCTTACCAAATGTCATCTAAATCGGTTCGATAGATCCAGAGATTACCCCCCTACAACGTCACAAACTCACAAATCACAAACTTTACCTCTTTATAATATTAATATAGATAACATTAATGATATAATGTTATTTCATACAATACTTTTTCTGCCAAAAATATATTTCTTTTAATATACATATTTTTTGTTTTCAGAGCCGATGAAGTTCAAGCAGCGTTCATACAAAAAATACTTAGGTTTGTGTAAAAAGAGAATTAGTTTTATCTTAGCACCACTTAAGGATATATGTATGTTAATATATTATTTTTTTATCGTTATGAATAGGTGCAAATCTGTGATTTTTTATTTAACAGATTTTGTGTACATGACACAGGGTTTATTTACATTATAGGTGTTTGGGATTTATATTTTCAAATGTGCTTACTTGTTTTGTGAGGCCGTAAATATATCCTCGTCTAAATGTTAAACTAACAACTAATAATAGTTTTTTTTGTATACTTAAATATTTTATTACTATTTAAAATTAAATATTTTACTATCCTGAATTCTGAATTATTTATTTAACATTATGAATGTTATCTAATTGATTATTTTTTAACCCCGTAATGAAGTACAGTAATCGGCAGTAAATAAGGCACATCGAGCTAAAGAGGGAGAAAATCTGCTAATTTCGGTTTTGTAGAGCGTCGTCTCTGTCGCTCAGTACATTATGTCAAGTTCCCAGTATCGGAGTGTTAGTGCTAACTGCCTCGGTGGTGTAGTGGCTAGCATGTACGGCTGCACACTCGGAGGTCCTGGATTCGAGTCCCGGGTCGGGCCAAGTTTAGTTATTGAGTCTTTCTGTATAGTAAGTCTCAGTAACAGCCCGGAGTTGGGAAGTTGGCGGTGTGTCACCCCCGTGCCTCGGAAAGCACGTAAAGCCGTCGGTCCTGCGCCGACACTCTCACCGGTCGTGTCTCGCGTCGTCCCACCGGAGTATGAGAGTGACAGGAACAGAGAGTGCACGTTGTGTCTGCGCGTACACGCGCTGCACTATAATATCTCCTGCGCAGTTGGCTAGTCTCAATGAGATTAGCCGCCGTGGCTGGAACCGACCAGGAGAACATCATAATCATCATTCTAACAAAGTTCAAATTTAATATTAAGGTACGTGTGACTTAAGTATTATCGCACAGAGTCATCAATCCAAGAAAATTAAAAAAACAACTTTTGTCATTCACAGGTTATAATATAGATTTAGAAATCAATTGATTGTAAATAAATATATATTATTTAGTACATTTACTTTAAACTTTCGAATCACTTCCAAAAGTACCTTGTTTTGGTTGGTGTCATATGGTGTAAAATGGCCTATTTAAGTCACGCTATAAATAGATATATTATAAATACTTTAATTTTTTTTAATTATCTTTATTTTTTTAAATAGATAGGGTAAACATTTTCACGTTTAGACGATGATATATAAGATTTATTTACAAAAAGTACTGCCAGATAGTTTACAAAATCTTTTCAATATTGAGCTTTTATGATTTCGACATACATACTATTTACGAGTATTTGAATGCATTCACGTGTTTTAGCCTTATTAGAAAAATAATTTAAATTAGTTTTGGGAGGGTTTCATAGGTTATATACATAATATAGGTCAATGTTTATGAATTTCATTTTTTTAACTTTGTTAAAAATTTAATATTGTTAGTTTTAATAGATTTTTAGTTTGGGGAAACTATTTATTTTTATTTTATATTATAATTTTTTTCCATGCTAATTTATTCCAAGACTAAGTTTGTAGCTGCCATATTATGTAAATAAAATTGTAATGAGTGTATATGGTTTATTTAGATTATTTGGCGTCTAACTTTTTTCAATGCTTAAAATATGAAACAATTTATCGCATTTTAAACATGTTATACCGATAACCTACTTTAAAAAACTTGGAAAACTAAAATGGTTTAATATTATCAATTATTCCACAATATTTTCAATAATAGCGTATATACCCTCAACTTAATATAATGTATGTAGAAATAATATATTAAGCACTCACGTATTTGGACTGCGATTGGTGATGAATTATTTAACTAAATAAGATTAAAGAAGTACTAATTTATCATGGAGGTTACTAAACGTAATTAAAAGCACAAAATAGTCAAATAGGCACAAATAATTAAAACACTCATTCTTACTCCCACTGCCCAGCAGTGGGACGTTAAAAATGATTTATATCTATATCTTTATATATATAATTCTTCTGTGAGTGTGTATGTCACTGAACTTCTCTCAAACGACTGAACCGATTTTGATGAAATTTTTTGTGTGTGTTCAAGGGGATCTGGGAATGGTTTAGATTCACAATTTGAATAATAATTTTCATCAAAAAAATTATTAAAAAAAGTTTGAAATTTTCAAATTAAAGACGTGTAGACAGGACAACGTCTGTCGGGTCCGCTAGTAGGTTATAAAATTTAAATAAAATTATCCGGCTGGAAGGATCATCAGGTTTTTAATTATTATTGAGTTTATTTGTATGTCAATTTATAGCACATTATTTATATTAGAGCTTTGTTTTTTCTATTTGATTCAAATTACTAGGTTTGTTTATTTATTGGACTTGGATTGAATGGAAATTTATAATATACTAACTTGAATGGTTTAGAAACTCCAAAGCAGAATTCTTTTTAGGCTAGTAGTTCAACTTTTGCAAGTGTATACATAATAACCCACCAGAGTTTCGTCACAATCGGATCAATTGCTAACACATAGTGGACAAACGTACTAATATTATAAATAGAATAGATAGATATCATATTTCATTCAATTCAATCGATTACTTCAATATATTTGTGTTTGTTTATAAAATACTTGCTTTAGAGTTTCCTTTTTAAGAATAATCTTAACGTATATTATGAATGGCTACCATAAATTATGTGTATGTTTAAGTTTCATTCAATTTGTATGTTAAACATTTATAGTTTTTTCATTGTGTTTATTATCAAGCCTTCTAAGAATTGGTACATATAAAACATTCCTGATAAAAGATGTTTAGGAAGGAACATTTTTCATTGAATATGACTTAATGATATAAATACCAAATGCAAATACTATAATGTATGTTGTTATATTTTTGGAATAAAATATCGCGATTATGCTGTCTTTTATTCTTGCCTGTCCGTCCGTATTATACACTAGGAATTTCTAAATTATTTAAATTGAACATAAAAAAATATAAAGAAAGTGAGAGAATACTTAAGAGAGTTATTCTCTTCTTATACTTTTATTTAAGGCTAGCGGCTCACCCTTGCTTCGCTCGGGCTCGCCTCTAAAACAAGTCTATCCACCGGGAACCGTACATTTTTCCGAGATAAAGTATCCTATGTGTTATTCTGATGAGCTATATTATTGTAAAATTTCATTAAAATCCATTCAAACATCCTCACATACTTTCGCATTTATAATATTAGTATAGATTTTATATCTTATAATTTTACGATGAATTAATAAGATGATACGTCATGTAAATTTTAAAACAATTATATTTATCACTAACATATTTCGCGATGTAAAATTAGAATAACACGTAAGCATGGGGTGCAACATTTTTAATCTGTAATTAGGTTAAATCAAAATTTCCTATATATGAAAATATATACAATTTTGTCTGTTGATAATATATCAATATAAAAGAACTATTTCTCTAAATACAGTGGTGAAAGCAATAATTTAAATATAAAATCAATCAACTTCCTCAACTCTCGGTCCGCCAGAACTAACTGGTCTTGTACAACTTGGTCCTCCCGCTACACCGTGTAGCTTCAACATGGCCGACTGGCAAGCTGCTTGAGCTGCTTTCAAATGCTCTTCCAGTTGTGATAAGGTTGCATTTGGGTTTGATTCCAACCATCGTAGGTGAGTGTTACACTCGTTAATAACTGTATCACGTTCATTGTCTGTTAGTCGGTTACCGGCATTTTCTGTGGCCTGTAAGTAATTGAGAATTTTGACTTTGACTGTGCAAATTAATAGTACTTCTTATCATGCCAATTAAATATCATGTTTTGCTTTAACTTGATTAAATGTTTGGTAAGTATTTCGTGTTTAACCCTTTTTAATGTACCACTGTTGGGCACGGGTCTCCTTTTATACTAAGAAGGATCAGGCCATAGATTACACTGGCCAAGTGTAGGTTGGCGGACTTAACATGTCTTACGAAAACTTGCTAGGTTCTCTCAGACATGCAGGTTTCCTCACGATGTTTTCCTTCACCGTAAGACAAGTGGTGATCATGTTATGTATGTTAAAATTGTATGTTAGAAACGATTCGCACATTAAAATAACACAGTTGTGAGAATCGGATTTTGAACCAGCTTCACTCGAATTCTCAAGCGAGCGCGTACTGTTATTGGGCTATTACTGATAAGTACCAACAATATTTTTTTTATACGTTCATTTCTTTTCCTACTACGCTACAGTCTATCACGATTGTCGTTTACAGGTTTTTTTATTATAATTTAACAATACGATTCCCATTTACTATTCATAACAACATTAAATGTCTTACCGTTTTACATCCATACAGATAGGCCTCTAACTGATTCCTAATTTCAACTCTCTTCCTCACTGCTTCATCTTCTGCCTTAAATTTTTCAGCATCTTCCAGCATCTTCTCTATCTCTTTTTTATTGAGTCGCCCTTTATCATTGGATATTGTTATTTGTTCAGAGCGACCTGTACTTTGATCTTGGGCGCTGACACTGAGAATACCGTTGGCATCTATGTCGAAGGTTACCTGAATAATTAAATGATATCATCCTTACTAATATTTTAGATCTGGAAGTGCGTCTGCTAAATTGCTTTTAATCAATAAATCAAGTCAGATTTGTAAATTATATTTTTACTAAAACTTACTTCGATTTGAGGTATACCCCTCGGAGCTGGCGGGATTCCCGTCAAATTAAACGTACCCAGTATGTTGTTATCTTTTGTCATCACTCGTTCTCCTTCATACACCTTTAAAATAAGTCAAGTTCGACAAAATCAAGAAAATTTCTAGGTATGTCTAATAAAATATTATCTAAATATTTAGTAATAAATATCCACCTGAATAGTAACTGCAGGTTGATTATCAGTATAAGTGGTAAATATTTTCTTTTGGGCAATTGGTATTCTTGTGTTTCTTTCAACCAATTTAGTCATAAGACCACCAGCGGTTTCTATACCAAGAGATAGTGGCGTGACATCGACAAGAAGAACATCCTGAAGACGAGTGTCTTTGTTACCGGTAAGTATAGCGGCCTGTACAGCAGCCCCGTAAGCGACTGCCTCATCGGGATTAATTGAAAGATTCAATGTTTTCCCACTAAAGAAATCCTAAAAATTTAAAAACATTAGCGTTTGCACGTGACTCCCCTCGCGTAGTTTATGCTCCGTCTGTAAGTGTCCTATTATGGTGTTACATAATTTATAAGCTTCCTCAATTAATAACATAAAAAGTAAAAAGAAATTTATTGAATCGGTCTAGCAGATAACCACTAGACATGACAGACAACGCGTTTAAGTAATTTCTTCAGTTTTATCTATACATATAATAAAATTCTGATTCAAATCTGTACATCAAATATTTTTTAGAAAATCTTGTTGATATAGTCATTATTATCGATACAGAGGCCGAATGTATAGTTTTTAGAATTTTTGTCTGTCTGTGACCGCATTACGAGAAAACCACTGGACAGATTTTGATGAAATTTGGTATGCGATAGTTGGTTATCCGGGTCAACATATGTATAAAATACTTTTTTCTGCGGGAAAATACCTCATCTCTGAGAAATCTACACTAACCGTTAAAAGGTACCAAGGGACGAACCCGAGCGGATCGAGGGTGAGTAGCTAGTATAATGATATAGTTTTAGCTTTACTGAGAGATACTATATATTTATGTATATGAAATTTTACGCATACGTTTAATATTTATTGGATAAGTTGGTTTTGAAATATACCAAACTATTAATGGCTATGAAATGTGGTTATTTATATAACTACTTTATGAGTACATCAGACTCTGAGCTTTTCATCGACTTTTTATATTTTTTTAGATGGTAACGATATTAAAACATTCATATATATCTACCTGTAAAAGTCTTTGTATTTTTGGTATTCTTGTAGATCCACCAACCATTACAACATCGTTTATTTCCCTAGTATTTAAGTTAGCATCTTTGAGCGCTCTTTCAACTGGTGCGAGTGTTTGTCGAAATAAATCAGAACACAACTCTTCAAAACGCGCTCGTGTAATTTTTGAGTAGAAATCTATACCATCATGTAACGCGTCTACTTCTAATGTAGCTTCTGTACTGGATGATAACGTCCTTTTAGCTCTTTCGCAAACGGTACGAAGACGTCTCAAAGCTTTCGGGTTACTTTTAATGTCTTTTTTGTATTTCCTATCGAACTCTTGGCCAAAGTGGTCCACCATACGAGAGTCAAAATCTTCACCACCCAAGTGCGTATCACCTGCTGTCGATCTCACTTCAAATAAGGATCCTTCCGATATTTGAAGTATAGATACATCAAACGTTCCACCACCAAGATCGAATATGAGTACATTCTTCTCTCCTTTTAAATCTCTATCTAGTCCATAAGCGAGAGCAGCTGCGGTTGGTTCGTTTATGATTCTCAACACATTAAGTGCGGCAATTACGCCAGCATCCTTCGTTGCTTGTCGTTGAGCATCGTTGAAGTACGCTGGGACTGTTATAACCGCATCTTTCACTTGGCCACCAAGATATGTTTCAGCCACCTCTTTCATTTTTGTCAGAACCATGGATGAAATCTCTTCTGGGGTAAATCTTCGTTTTTCACCCTTATAATCTACAACTATTTTTGGTATTCCGCCGTCGGAAACGACTTCAAAGGGCCAGTGCTTAATATCTTGTTGAATTTTAGGATCATCAAACCTTCGTCCAATTAAGCGCTTTGCATCAAAAACCGTATTTTTTGGATTCATTGCAATCTACGAATGTATAACAAAGTCAATGTATCAAAATGAATCAAGAAAAAACATAAAAGAAAGATACAATAACCAGTAGTGTAAAAAATATACTTTAACCTTATAATGATAAAAATTATTGGTTTTGAAAGAAAAGCTTAAATAAACTTTATACTCAAATATAGTGTACCTGATTTTTTGCTGCATCCCCAATAAGTCGTTCTGTATCATTAAAAGCGACATATGACGGTGTAGTTCTATTACCCTGCTCGTTTGCAATGATTTCAACCTTACCATGTTGGAAAACTCCGACGCAAGAGTACGTGGTTCCAAGGTCTATTCCTACTGCTGGTACGACCATAGTGTAAATTTATTTCTACAAAAAAAAAACCGTTATTAAGCAATCTATAGTAAATAATAATTTACCTAGGCAGTGGTAGCCCAGTGGTAACGCGCTCGCTTGAGAAATCGAGTGAAACTGGTTCAAATTCCGAGTCTCGCACCTCTGATATTTTCATGTGCGACTCATTTTCAATGATCACCACTTGTATTACGGTGAAGGAAAACATCGTAAGGAAATCTGCATGTCTGAGAAAATCTAGCAAGTTTTCGAAAGACATGTGAAGTCTGTCAACCGCACTTGGCCAGCGTGGTGGACTATGGCCTGATCGCCCTCGCATTAAAAGGAGGCTGAATACAATAATTGTTTACCTATTGTTTTGAATACTATTAGATATTATTTCGAACACATTGAAATATCTGCTTTTTTTTGCATGCTTAATCATTTCTAATATTATGATAAAAAGAAATAATGGGACTGTAAAAAATAATACTCTTAAGTGATTAAAAATACATAGTTGTCGTCGTCGTTTAAAAAACCCATTACACATTTTAATTTCCCAGTCGATTGGATTTTTATTACGTAAGTTATTCGTCACTGAGTGGTTCTGGCTTCTGACTTATATTGCGCATAATTATATACACATATAAAGTATGTCATTATATAAAAAATATTTATGACACTATGTACTTTTATAGTATAGTAGTACAATTCAGCCCTTTTTAACATCCCACTGTTGGGTACGGACTTCCCTTTACGCTGGCCAAGTGCTGGTTGCTGGACTTCACATCTCTTTCGAAAATTTGCTAGGTTCTCTCACATAAACGGGTTTCCTCACGATGTTTTCTTTCACCGTAAGACAAGTGGTATTCATATTAGAAATGATTCCCACATGAAAATATCAGAGGTGTGAGACCCGAGATTTGAACCCGCTTTACTCGGTTTCCCAAGCGGCCACGCTACCACTGGGCTACCTCTGCCTCTTTACTATTATGATAATATGTAATAAAAATAAAAAAAATATATTACCTGGTTAACACGAGCACTGATTAAGACATTTTATGTAAATTTCAAGTACTTATTGTTTGAAGAGTTAAATTACCTTTTTTAACGGAAATTTACGATAATTTCTAAAAAAAAATATCAAGATGGCTAATTATTAAATAGTAAAAATAAAAATGTAATATATGCAAATATAATTTAATGATGTTAATCTCTTTGAGTATATGTTTAAAAATGTTAGATAATAAAAACATACTGTTATGAGAATAAGTTTAGGTAACTATACTATTGCTGTGAGTAACATCATTTATGAATGAATTAGATACATTGTTATATTTGTCCATACAAATGATTCCTCCATAGGAATCACACGCGTTTCATTTGAAATTTATAGTGTCATTTATAATATTGACATAAAGAAATGAAAAAAAATTGTCTCTATATACAAACTATTTCGTACTATACGTATATTCTTGGTAAGAGTAACAATAATATGTTATTAACCAAAACATAATGAATAATTACAAATAAAATAAATTAATTAAAATAAAATATAACAAAAGAGAATATAATAAATTAATTAAAATAATTACATGATTTTTTATATATACTATATGATACATAGTAATTTTTTATTTTTTTGTTTGAACGCGCTTATCTCTGGAACCGTCATGTCAGTCCGATTTGTAAAATCCTTTTTGCATTTTAAAGTTACTTGTATTTTTTTTTAAAAGTAAATCTTGTTTATTTGTATTGTAGTCTTTTGGATAATTTTAGAAAAAAAAATCACTGTTAGAATGCTACAAAATACATATTATATATATACTGCGCAACAAGACAAAAGAAGTTTCAAATCAAAAGAGAAAACCTTTTTATAAATAATTGTATCGCAGCTATGCCACTTAACATAATGAATGTAAATGACACGCTCCGTCAGTCTGTTTGTTTATATTTGCAAATTTCCGAAACGACGAAACTCATTTTAAGGAAATATTCATTCGCCAGTAATACAACCTGTAGTTCACAATCAAATAGTAAATAATTTTTCTATGAACCTTTTTTACTGAGATAGGAAAATTGTTGTTACCGCAGGATAGGGGACCATTTTTAAAACTTAGCGTAAGATCAGTCGAGACGTAGTGAGAGTAGAGACATAAAAACTTTTTAACAAAAAAATAAAAACCGACTTAAAAAAAAGCACTAAAAAGTAAAAAATAACTGATTAGTAGTTTTCATTTACTATACATACCTAATCAAATATTTTCGAAGACGTTGTGCTTTGTATCGGCGGCTTTGTACGTGCGGTGTTGTATCGGCTGGCACCGACTTCGAAATTATTAATTTTAAAAAAATATTAAATTATTAAAATAGGACGAATTACTAGTTTATATTTTAAATAAAACTATCTTTTCGGATTTTGTCGCGGATTTATTTGGATTTTTGTTTCCCGACGTTTCGAATGCTTTACAGCATCCATGGTCACGGGAGAGACTCAGTCTCAAGAGAAACGTCGGGAAACAAAAATCCAAATAAATCCGCGACAAAATCCGAAAAGATAGTTTTATTTAAAATGTCAAATATTCGCGTAAATCTAAGAAAGTATTACTAGTTTATAATTTACTCCAAAAATCGATGGTGTTTTAACTTCAACACTTTTAGGAATATTTGTTAAGGAATGTGTAACTAAAGGGAGCGTAGTTAGTGACAGCTGCAATTTATTAGAAAAGTTTATTGGTCTGTCCGAGCGGCGATAATATCTACACTATTTAAATTTATTACAGTTGCAAATTAAAAAACTTTACGGACAGCAATATTATTTTTAATTTACATGCATTTTTTTATGTATCTTTTTATAGATCTTAACAAATTTAATGGTTAAAAAATAATTTAAATTTCAATTTTTTTAATATTTAAATTATTAACATTGTTGTTTTAAGTTACAAAATGTCAATTAAGTTGTTTGATTCTATTAATCTTTTCGTTGTATGAAATATGTAAATATATATATGTATATGAAGTGAATGCAATAATCTCCACACATGGAGTGAATTTGAAGAAAAAAAAACCTGGTATGTTCTTATAAATATTTAAAACAAAAAAGAATCGTATGATTTTAAGAGAGATAAACGATTTTAATTTTAAAATAAAACAACATTTAATACATCGTTTAATGACTATAAAAAAAAATTAAACAACTTTATCTAAGAAAACATTACTTATTATAGATAAAATCTAAGAAAATTTTAACTTTAAATGAACTGAACATTTCGAATCACTTTACTAATTAGTCTTAACACAGCGAGTAAATTAAAATCATTAAGTCAAATCAGTTAATTTAAAGTTTAGAAACAAAACTTTTCCTCCATTAAACTAACGTTTTCCTTTCTTTTTCTTCTTATTAAAGTCTGGAGGATGAAAGCCTCTCGCTTGAAGCAATTCTTGAACATTATGACACGCGTAGTACACATTGTCCATAGCAGATTCAGTCAACATGTCCACATTGCATCTTCCTTTGGCTTTACTCTTCTTAGCTCTCCCTCCGCCTTTCTTAGACTTCTTTTTGTCCCCTCCTTCTTCTTTATCTTTCTTTTCCTTTTTCTTTCCCTTGCCTTTACCGGCCATGTTCTTTAGTTCCTATAGTTACTGTTGCTACAGAGTATTGATTTTACATTTACGTACATTGTTACTGTGCTATGTAAAGTAGTTCCTTACACTACAAACACAATAAGGTTATATGGATATTTATGACTTAAAAGTTTGGCTAGATTTGTTTATTTATCTATATATTTAAAAGTTTCTTATATATCCTTCCCAGGATCTAAAACTATCTTTTTAACAAATTTCATTTAAATCGGTTCAGTAGATCCAGAGATTACCCCCTACAGCGTCACAAACTCACAAACTTTACCTCTCTATATTGGTATAGATTAAAAAAAAATACACTGTAGACCACACCTACAGGGTAGCTCAACATGATAATAAAAATGGCATTCTGCTTCCATTACCCCATACTATGTTGAATACCCTTATTATGTTAAATATCTATTAATAGGAATAAGTTAAGTTTGACGGTAATTTTTACGTATTTATACTTCTAAAGTATAAAAATTATGATTAGTTGTTACATGAAAATTAATTAAAATTAGAGATTAAATAAAGAAAATTATTTATTAATTTACAAAGTGATAATATTTTATAGCTTAGATAAGACAAAAGAGCTATCATTTGTAAAATTTAATTTGATAACCCAATCTCTATACAAATTAGTAAATATTATGTTTGGATAAATAATTACTTTTATCTGTCGTCTGTTCCCCGAAATTAGAAATTTTAACTAAAAGGTACTCAGAAATACAAATAAAATTAGTTGGTATTTTGCGTCCCCCCATTTCTCGGGGGTAACTGGTCATATGGGGCATTTTACGAATTTCTATTCCTTATATGCCTGCTAACATTTTAAAATCATAAAACTTCAGGTTTTCAATATTTGGTTCCCAAACCGGATTTGGATGGATGGATGTCTGTCTGTTACTCAATCTCGGAAGAACGGTTGAACGAATCTGGATGAAATTTGGCAAAAAGATAGATTATAGTCTGGAATAGCACATAGCCTAGGTTACTTTTTATTCCACAAAAATGTGCGGTTCCCGTGGGATAGATTTGTTTTGTTATAAGTTGTAATTACTAAAGCAAACGATTGTATAGTAGTATGTATTTACCATGAACGAATTAGAGACTGGACCTGACATAAAATACAAATGTATGAAAACTAGTTCAACCAAGTGACGCATAACGCACACAAAGATTTTATTACATTATTATAAACACTGATACACAATACAATATTTCTAGTGCTTGAACGTAATCGATAAAATACATATATCGATGAACCAATGAATGACATTTTAGACATTGGTTAGCATAGTCAACATATTTTACATCTTTTAATTTATTCTTCTTCTTTTAATTTTAATAAATTAAAATAAATGAATTAAAGAGGCAATAATAATGTGTCAAATAATAATTATTTTTTAATTTGATTTATATAAATACGATGGCATTGATGGCAACATTCTGTTGGCCTATAATAATGTTAATGAACAAATGAATATCGGGTATATATTCCATTAATATATAATAAATATTATTTTGTAAAGATTAAAAAAAATATTAAGCTAATTAAATTAAATAAAGTGATTTTGTTGATTTTGTTATTGAACTATTTTAATTGGCAATTGATTGACTCGGGTAGTTATAAAAATGTGACACTATCCTAATATTGCTCAGTTCTTAATAAACATTTGTGAAATTAGGAAAAAGAAAAAGAGATTGCAAATTAAAGTGAGTGTTGCATCGTGAAAGTAAAATAATTAGTGCAAGTGGTAAAGTGTTTTATTACAAATCGCCAACCCAGAAGTTTAGTGCTAAAACATTATTGTTTGATTTTGTGTAATTTATATGTTGAAATAAAATGATCTTTATTATTATTACAATGGAATAATATTCCAAAGTATATAAATGTGGAATAAAATAAAATAAAAAATTAAGTACACATACTAATTATAATTTTTGCATTTATATTTTTATTTGATTTAGAAAATATTTTTATAAATTTATTGATATCAGATTGTAGGATACTGTGGTAAAAGTATTTTATGTTATTGTACTGTACAAATAACACAATTCGTTTAGTAATTTCGTCAAATATCGATATATTTTTCGACATTGTCAAGCACTAGTCGATGTCAAATGGACTCACTCGACAGTTTAGTCATTTGTTCTGAATGGTATAATCCAGGGATTTTATGATGGTTGTCAGATGTCAACAATACATAGAAATATCGACTATATTTAACATAGTTGGATAATATGACATTTTATTTTACATTTATTAAATTGTGTGATAAATAACAATAAATGTAATAAAATAATGTATTTACAAGTGAAAAGAAATACTGCTCCTTCCGCCGTTATAGTTTTTACATCATTTAACAGAACATTTAGTCATTTTTGGGAGATGTTTTGTTGACAAATAAGTGCTTGAGACTGACGCAAAAAACAAACGACCAAGCCTAAAATCTCCTGGTTACTGAGAAGACCGATAAAGGTACGTCCGCTTATATGTCTAGTCCAGTGGTTAATTCGTTCATGGTATTTACTATTTACATATGTGTAAACACACACACGGATTTAGATGTGTACACAGATTATGACTATGAGACTCTGGAGTAACATAGTATATGCTGCTGTGAGAAACGTTTTAAAGGTTTGTATAGATTTTTCACATATGGGATATTATCTCGCAGTAAAAAGTGTCGTATATTGACCCGGATAACCAGCTATCATTCTACTAAATTTCATCAAAATCACTCTAGTGGTTTTCTCATGATGCGTTCTCAGACAGACAAAAATTCTAAAAATTATAGATTCGGCCTGTTTATCGATAATAATGACTATTTCAATAAGATTTTACAAAATATATTTAATGTTAAGATTCGACTCAGAATTTTATTATTTGTATAGATGTTTAAATTGAAATACCTACAGCTTTTACTTCATACTACGCATATTTACATAAAAGTTAAAACTGAGTTTTTAGCGGTTACATAATAATAAGATGGGCAGATCCACAGTCAGCATCCAGTTCAAAAATGAAAATTAAAAGTTTTATAACAATATTTATTTAAATAACAGAATTACAAACTTTATTTTTTTATTTATCTATAGAACAGAATTATAAATTATTTTATATAAATGCTTAATTTTAAATGCAAATATCCTTTCAGAGATCAAGCCAGTCCAAACAAATAGGTTCATATATTCATAAATCTACATATAGGTAAAAAAATATCAAGTAAAAAAATTATATAAGTAATTCAATATAAGTAAGAAATATAATGGACAATTATCTAATAAGCTACAATCAGTGAAAATGTACTTATTTAATGTTGTATAGTGGTTCTCTCAATATGTGCTCGACCTCGGCTCGATGTAGTTTCGATGTTCCCACCGCGGGAGTCGCTGCTTCACTACGACCGGCGTAGAGTAGCTGGAAAACATTCAAATTCTTAGAAAATTTTATTTATTTTTCGATCGGTACTATAATTGTATAGCACCCCTTCAATACGAGGGTGATCAGGCCATAGTCTACCACGCTGGTCAAGTGCGGGTTGGCGGACTGAGCATGTCTTTCGAAAACTTAATATATTTTCTCAGACATACAAGTCCAAGTCCTAACGATGTTTTCCTTCACCGTAAGACAAGTGCTAATCATGTTGGAAATGATTCGCACATGAAAATATGAGTAAGTTTCATTGTGTGTTTACGCTTCCGTAATTTAGTTTAAGTTAGCTATAAGCAATTTTTTGTATAACAAAGTTATTGCGGTCAAAATTAATCAGGCGCTTCGCCATTTGTATCTCTTTTTGCAGAATCATTCTCAATTGCTATTAAAGCCCCTTACTGACCGGTTGATTTTTATTTTATCATCGCCACATCACCCGTGATTATTACCAAATTAATTTATACACCTCTAGCCCTCTTCATGGTCCATTATGAGACGGATAAAAATAAAGGAAATATTTAAACAATATTAAAAATAATTAAAAAGTGACCAAGTGCCGTATGGAGTATAGAGGTGAAGATTGTTAAATTCGAGTGAGTTATAGACATTAAGTGCTTAAAATAAAAATCAGTATAGTGTTTATCATTATATTTATTAATAAAACCCAACATGTCTACAAATTAAACATTAAATCAGGTAATTAAAGCACGTTAAGCACGTGTGACATTGGGCAAGGTCAGTAAGTTAAAACTTTTAAAACTTTACTACAAATATCTACATATGTAATTAAAACGATATATTAACAATAAATTTGATAAAATATAATAAATATTAGGTATAGTTTATCGGTACTTAAATAATACAGTACAGTAACTTATAAATGTTACATTAGATAACTGTTCCTAGTATAAGTATTTTTACAAAATACATTTTAATTATATTATATAAACCTCAAATTTAAGTTATTAATTTTGCATATTCAGTGTAGATATTTATTTTATTAAAATTTACTTCCAATTATAAAGTAACAGTTTAGCAAATAATTTATTTGTGAGCTTTAGAAATACATATCCAAGTTAAATCGAAAATTATTGTTAGATAAAATCATTTAATCAATTATCAGTAAAACAAGTTATCACTTTTATTTTGGTTGTGATTCATTAGTTACTATATCTCTAAAACCTTTGTTTGTAAAATTTCAGATCGACATCATCTGTATCCCAAAATGACTGACATTAAGGAGCTTAAAAAGAAGCGTGGCAGTTATAAATGTAGATTAACAGTTTTTGGAAATTATTTAGGTACTTTAAATGATGCCGAACTGACCGCCTGTCAGGCGATGGAGTTACAATTACGAACAGATAAGTTAGAGAGCTTATACAATGAGTTTAATGAAGTTCAATCACAATTAGAATGCTTAACGGATAACATTGACATTGAATTAGTTGAACGAACCGCTGTAGAATCACAATATTATTCATTATTAGATCAGGCTAAAAATCTTATCAATATATTTTCAAAATTAGAACAAAATGACGTAAAATCAACTTCTAGTAACTCTAAGCAACAGCTAGTCAAATTGCCTACTATCGATTTACCTAAATTCTCAGGTTCGTATGATAACTGGCTAGAATTTCGCGATACCTTTTCTAGTCTCATTCACAACAATGACAACATAGAGGAAATTAATAAATTTCACTATCTAAGGTCATCATTGGAAGGTTCCGCTGCTGTCGTAATACAATCTATCCAGTTCTCTGCTCAAAATTATACCATAGCCTGGGAACTTCTGTGTGACAGATTCAACAACAAACGGTTACTCATTCACAATCATGTGTCAGCTCTGTTCAAGCTCGAACCAATAACTAAAGAGTCTTCAATATCACTAAAACGAATTATTGATCAAGTAAATAAAAATATTAGGTCTTTAAATACAATAGGCAAACCGGTTCATAGCTGGCTGGCCGACACATTATTAATATATATAATAAGTTCAAAATTAGATTCTTCAACATTAAGAGAATGGGAGGAATATAAAGGGCAATTAGACAAAAATAAGTTAATCTCTTTTGAAAATTTTATAGAATTCTTGAGAAACCGTGCTGATTTAATAGAAACTTTAGAAATATCACGTCATTCTCACACAAATAAGGAAAAAATAAATAAAAGTTTAAAATTTAAAACATTAGTTTCCACTTCGAATTACTCTAACAATAACAATAATACAAGCTCACATAATTATTGTCCTAAGTGTAATGGTGATCATAACCTCAACGATTGTCCACAATTTTTATCACTATCTATCTCTGAACGAATGTCATTAATACCGAATTATAAGATTTGTTACAATTGTTTTCGTCGCGGTCACTACCCTAGTCAATGTAAAAAGTCAGGGTGTAAAATCTGTAAGCGTAAACACCATACTCTAATACACAACACAGATTTGCATAAAAAATCTGAAGTAAATAAAACTTGTACGTTCGATACGAATAAAATTAATAGCACTACCGTTACTGATAACGCTCACACCACGCTATTGACATGTACACACGCATTGTGCGACTGCGAGTAGTTCGAGCGACGTCCTTTTATCTACTGCATTAGTAAAGTGTAACGATATTAATAATAAAACACATATCGTCCGCGCTCTTCTTGATTCCGGCAGCTCTTCATGTTTAATGACGGAAAATTTATTTAAAAAATTAAAACTGCCTTATCTTAAGATTAATAAGTATATACAGGGTATCAATAATTCGTTGTCTCTTGTGGATAAATTTTGTCATTTAAATATTCAGTCCTTAAATGAAAAATATTCAAATGATTTATTATGTTTCATTTTGCCTTCAATCACTGATAAGATCCCCGCTAAGCAGGTACAACTAGATATACCGTCGAACATAAACTTAGCTGATCCTTATTTTCACACACCGGGTTCCATTGACTTAATTATTGGAGCGGATGTTTTTTGGAATCTCTTAGGATCCGAAAAAATTATATTAGGTGATAGATTACCCATACTTTATCAAACTAATCTTGGATGGTTAGTTAGTGGTCCAATTAACGGCGGCCATAATAATTGTTTTAACACTCGGTCTTCACCTATAAAATGTAATTTCAATAAAGCATGTTCCACACAATTAAATGAACATGATGACATTCGAAACCAATTAACGCGTTTCTGGCAGCTCGAGGAGGTATGCCATGAGTCATCTACTTATTCATTAGAAGAAAAAATGTGTGAAGAACATTTTGTTAAAAATACGTCACGTTTATCAGATGGACGTTTTTGCGTTAAAATACCGTTAAAGGAATCATCCGATATTTTAGGCGATTCATTTAATCATGCTAAACGCTGTTTTCTGTCACTTGAGCGCAGAAATAAAAATCAAGCCTCATTAGATAAGATGTATAAAGACTTTATGTCTGAGTATATTTCTTTATCACATATGTCAGAGATTCAAATTAATAAAAATAATTCGTATTTCATTCCGCATCATGGGGTGTTAAGATTAGATAAATCTACTACGAAACTTCGTGTTGTTTTTAATGCTAGTGCAATTACTACGTCTGGTTTTTCATTAAATAAAATACAGATGGTAGGACCGACTGTTCAGGATGATCTTACATCTATTTTACTTAGATTTCGAATGTACAAATATGTACTTTCAGCAGATGTGGAGAAAATGTATCGGCAAGTGTCCGTACATCCTTCCGACCGACACTTACAGCAGATCATTTGGCGTAATGACTCATCGTGTCCACTTAAGATATACCAGTTGAATACCGTTACTTATGGCACTGCCAGCGCACCATTTCTCGCAACGAGATGCCTTAAGCAAGTGGGAATGGAATGTACTGATAAAATGATCTCGGAAATCATCATCCATGATTTTTATGTCGATGATCTTTTAACTGGCACAGACCAACTCGAAACTGCGTATGAACTGCGAAAGAAGGTCACTGATGCTCTTACTACCGCTTGTATGCCTTTGAGGAAGTGGAAGTCTAACGAGCCTAAGTTACTTTCTGAACAGTATGATCAGTCGACAATTGATTTCCACCAAGAAGGTGACACGTTACATAAAACTTTAGGGCTGAGTTGGCAAACCGACATTGACAAACTTTGCTTTCCTATAAACATTCCTGAACAGACGAATAATACTAAACGTAGCATGCTAGCAATAATTGCACGAATATTTGATCCATTGGGTTTATTATCACCTTGTGTCATACGCATGAAAATGTTGTTACAACATCTTTGGCTTAAAGGCTTAAATTGGGATGATCAATTAACAGCTGAGGTTGGCACTGAGTGGGCTAACCTGATTAAAAATTTACCAGCTATTAATAATATTCATATACCGCGTCGTGTCACTTGTGATGCTTACCAACACTTCGAAATTCACGTATTTGTAGATGCTTCGGAGAAAGCTTATGGCGCTTGCTTGTATATTCGCAGTGTAAATAGGCAAGGTGATGTCAGCGTGCACTTAGCAATGGCTAAAAGTCGCGTCACGCCGATTAAACCGGTAACGTTACCACGTCTTGAACTTTGTTCTAGTGTACTTGGAGCGCGTCTATACAAAAAGGTTATAAATTCACTTCGAGCTCAACCCTCAAAGGTTGTTTTCTGGACTGACTCCATGGTTGTGCTTGGTTGGTTAAAGATGCTGCCTATCAAATTAAATACATTTGTACGTAATCGCGTAGGAGAAATTCTAGAAGAAACTAGTCAGTGTACATGGAGACATGTACCTAGTAATAAAAATCCAGCAGATTTAATTTCTCGTGGAGTTGAACCTTCCTGTCTGCAAACCTTGGACCTGTGGTGGTTTGGTCCATCTTTTTTACATAAAGATGTAGATGAATGGCCTTGCAGTCCTAATGATATGGAGATAACGTTACCTGAAATAAAAACAAATATTAACCTTCATGTCGTTACGCATGACAATACTGTAGAAACAGGATTAATAAAATTTGAACGTTTTTCTAATATTTTAAGATTACAACGTACCCTTTGTTATGTATTTCGCTTTATTGATGCCTGTAAACGAAGAGGCATAAAAAACACTGCTTATTTTTCTAAAACTGAACTACAAAACTCTTTAAATTTTATAATAACTCAGTCACAAAGAGAATCTATTCCTGAGTATGATTTATTAATAAATAATAAAAATCTACCGTACAAAAACCGTTTGTCAAAATTAAGTGTATTTCTCGATGCTAATAAAATTATACGTGTAGGAGGTAGGCTACATAATTCCGAATACGCTTTTGAGAAAAAACATCCAATTCTTTTACAGTCCACTCATCATTTTGTAAAACTTTTATTTCGATATGAGCATATTCGATTGATGCATGCAGGTCCTCAATTGCTACTTACGACTTTAAGAGAAAGATATTGGCCATTGGGGGGACGTAGCTTGGCTCGAGCTTGTTATCGTCAGTGCGTTCGATGCCGGCGTTTTAAGGGACAGACAGTAATGCCACAGATGGGCAATCTACCATCAAGTAGACTTTCACCAACTGACTTTCCCTTCCAAAACGTAGGTGTTGATTACGCAGGTCCCTTAACCTCAGTTAGTCGTCAAGGTCGTGGATGTAGATTAGTGAAGGTCTATATCGTTATTTTTGTATGTTTTACGACAAAAGCCATTCATTTAGAACTGGTAGGCGATTTGACTAGCAATAGTTACCTGCAGGCATTATCTAGGTTTATTTCTCGGAGAGGTAAACCTCTTAATATATATTCTGACCGTGGAACGACATTCACAGGAGCTTGTAATGAAATTACAGAATTTTTAAAACAAAATTGTAACTCTATATCTGACAGCGCGGCTCGTGACGGAGTTAACTTTCATTTTATCCCTGCCTATGCTCCACATTTCGGCGGTCTTTGGGAGGCAGGTGTCAAGTCGACTAAATTTCATTTGATGCGAGTGCTAGGCAATTGTCACCTTACTTATGAGGAATTTAACTCTGTGATAGTTCAAATTGAAGGAATCTTAAATTCTCGGCCTCTCACTCCTTTATCGTCGAATCCTGAAGATTTGTTGCCTCTTACTCCCGGTCATTTTTTAATTGGAAGACCGCTCACGTCTCTACCTGTAAAGGATCTTCGTGATTGCTCCAGTCATATGTTAACTCGACACCACCGCATTGAACAACTCCGACAGCATTTTTGATCAAGGTGGAGTAAAGAATATGTGTCAGAATTGCAGCTAAGAGTCAAGTGGAAATCCTCTACGGATGCACTAAAATTGAACTCTTTAGTCGTTATTAAAGACGACAACTTGCCGCCAATGAAATGGAAACTGGGTCGAGTTATTGCTCTTCATCCTGGCACCGACGGAATCTCCAGGGTGGCTGATATTAAGACTGCGACCGGCATCATTAGACGAGCCTTTTCTAAAATCTGCCCGCTGATAGAAGAGTCCTGTTGAATGCAAGCCTTCAACGGCCGGGGGCATGTTTACGCTTCCGTAATTTAGTTTAAGTTAGCTATAAGCAATTTTTTGTATAACAAAGTTATTGCGGTCAAAATTAATCAGGCGCTTCGCCATTTGTATCTCTTTTTGCAGAATCATTGTCAATTGCTATTAAAGCCCCTTACTGACCGGTTGATTTTTATTTTATCATCGCCACATCACCCGTGATTATTACCAAATTAATTTATACACCTCTAGCCCTCTTCATTGTGACCGGTCGAATAGATTTAGATACCTTCTTTGTTTGCGTTCAATTGGAATTGTATAGGACTTTTGCTTAAATTTTTAGTTAAAACTATCATTTCGAATCTTTGTGATAATGATTGATGATAAAAATCGAAATAAATCGTGAAAAAATCTAAAAAGATTTATGTAAAATGCCAAATATTCGTGTAAATCTAGTGTATAAAATAAAAAAGTAAATATTATATAATAAAAACAATTATAATTATATTATTTAGATAGATAGTACCACTACCCAGGTTTTTTCTGGGTCATAGTAGATGCTTTCAGAGCGCGTTATATCGTTGGGTAGTAAGCAATAGCTCCAGGGGCGGTCTTTTTAGACATTACAGGGATTTATGGCGATGATTGATGATACCGGTAATGACTGTTATTATTTTTCGTGAGAGCGACATCAGATCGATGACATGAATGTACTATAACTCAAATTTTAACTTCCATGGTGGAAGAAATTGTTTCTTGAATTATTATTGATACTTTACAATTATAATCTTTCTAATATATAAAAATCTCGTGTCACGGTGTTTGTGGTCGCATTCCCCCGAAACGGCTCGATCGATTTTAATGATTTTTTTGCATGTTTGGTAAGTATGAGAATAGGTCGTAAAGTATTTTGCACCCTCCTACCCCCAATTATTTTCGCGATTTTAGTATTTTTATATGAACAATATTATACATATACATAGCGACAAACCCGAGCAAAGCCAGAGTAAGTTTTTTTTGTAAACAGAACGCGGGCGTAGCCGCGGGTTCTGCTGGTAATGCCATAAAAATAAACAGTTGTAATAAAAACAAATACTTATTCATAAAATAATACAGATTAATTGTTCGCCATATTAAAAATAATAGACTATTAACGCGTAATTTATCGGCATTTAACGCTTCATGCAGGTGTGGCGACTCACTTAACGCCTATTGTAAATTATTTTACTTCCCTTACATAATGAGTTTTAACTTTAGTATGGACTTTATATTTAAAAAACAATATCTTATTGTACTTTATTACTTTTGCTTTTAGTTTATAAAAAGAGAAAGACAAACAACATGAGTAATAACTTTCGACGACACGTTTGGCCCAGTTTGTAGTGTCCCTACTTGCTGTGCCAGCGGTCGCTGGTTCGAGTCCTGCTGGAGGCATTCATTTGTGTGATGAGCACGAATGTTTGTACTCCAGTCATGGGTGTTTATATTTATACATAATATGTATGTATTTAAAAGTTATATGTGTGTAGTTTATCAACTATCTGGTATCCATAACACAAGTCTCGTAACTTATTTATATTATTTATTATTATTTTGTCTATAAACTTTGAAAGCTTTTATAATGCTTAGTGATTCCTGGAACAAGTTACAGGGATTCTTTATATAACAATGTAACAAATTTATGGATATTTGTAAAGCTTTCTGTGAATATGTTTGTGGAAAATTCTAAATAATTTAAAGTATAAGCAGTAGGAGCTTTGCCAGATGGTTAAGCTTCTCAGCATTGGTCCATTCGTTTCCTACATATTGTAATAGGTTTTATGGAGTTTTCTACGAAATTCTTGCTTTTAGAGGTTATACATAATGCACTTCGATACATATTTAGTCAATATATATCTTAGCCTAAATATGATCTCTGTCATATAAATACATCAGCAATTATACGTTTAATATACGAAAAGACGGAGAAACAAAAATAAAAAAAAAATAAAACAAACTCATTTTTAGTAATACGTGTAGTGTAAATACCAAAGAAAATAAACCAGTAAAATTAACTTTACAAAGCTTACCTTCTTGCCGATAAGATTTTCGAATCGCGGTTTAACAAAAGACCAACCGCCCATATTTTTGTGCTCCTCTTGACTCCATATGAATTCTGTAAATAATTAATAAATCATTAATATTATTACTAATTTGTTAATTTGATTGTGAGGTATATTCTCTGCCTCGTTAGTCTAGTGGCTAGGTCTTAGATTTGAGTCCTAAGTCGGACTAATATATTTACTGAGATTTTCTGTCACGAATAACTCAGTACATGGTGTCCTGCATCCTATCGCTTCCCGCTCATGTCGAGTTGCTATCTCTCTTGAATATTTGAGTAAAAGGAATAGACTTGTGCACTACAATATGTCCCGTGCAAGCTGATTTCATTACGGTTACCGAAACCAAAGTCTGTTAGAAAGACATTACGAGTATTATTATATACTCTGAAAGTACTGAACTTATAATTAATATATTTTTTATGTACAAAGGCACTGTCCCTTAGTTATTATATATTATTATAAAATAAAGAGAAAAACGTTGTACTCCAACTAGAAATACAGGTACTGCTATATAACATTAATTTTATTTTCGTATTCACTAGACACCTTTGATATTTATAGTATGTGTTTGACAGCATTTCCCTTACGAATTTATATCGAGCACGTGCGAGCTGTTATCTCTATAAATAGTGATCACGTTGGGCGATTGTGATAAGTGTTTATAATTTATGTTTTAATAATATTTATGCAAATTTCGAAAAAAAATATGGTTGCGTAACCTTTACGGGCGGTTGAAGTAAAACTTCTTTGGCAAATATCGCAATTAAATAACGCATATTGGGCACATTTCACAATCTTATACGGAAAGAATGTAATAATCATTTGTCAGACAATAACAACTGTCACCATGACAACAATTAGTTAATAATATATAATATCTATTATTAATTTATACGCATTTATAATCATCTCACAATAATCAATATTCATTTTTATAATTAATAAGTTTAGTTTTTTTAACAAATTTAAAGTTACTTTACATTCTATTTAACACTAGCGACTAGCGGTTCATTCCGAATACAAACTTTCATCCCCATTCTCACCCCCTTAAGGGATTATTTTCGGCATAAAAAGTATCCTATGTCCTTCCCAGGGTCTCAAACTATCTTCTTACAAAATTGAATCCAAATCGGTTTAGTAGATCCAGAGATTACCGCCTACAACGTCACAAACTTACAAACTTTACCTCTTTATAATATTAGTTTTATAAGTATAGCTATATGACATTACATAATTTATTCAGTATTATAATTATTATTTTTCACTTCCTGTGTAATGTATTCTATTTCATTCTCTCGCCGGCTTAATCCTATAATATATTTATGTGTTTGTCTCTTTCTCGTCTCGCATTTCCGTTTCATCGAGTCTCAAATCACGATTCTTAAGAATTTTCACTTCAAAAATTAAAATTCAATGAATCGAATACTGAAAATAGTTACTTCTTTACATTATTTTCTTTCATAAATATTTTTTCCGATGTTGCGCTTTTTTATTATTTTTTTTATTTAACCTAAATATTTACTTTATAAGCGAAAAATCTAAATATACATTATGGACTTTGAAGACTAAAAGAAACATTTGCATACGCTCGTCGCCCGACAGAGACGGCTAGTATCCGTACATAAAATACTTTGTAGATTGGTATGGATATTGGTGAACTATGGATATTGGTGAACTATGTTTACTTTGTTAATTTTTTTTCTGTATCATATTTTAAGTGCAATAAAGAATATAGTAAGTTATGATGATAAAAAATCCTGTGTTAATTTAAGATATATTTAAGCTACCTTCATTCTTAATTAAAATCAAATAATTGGGTCGCCATATTGTAAAGAAATAACAAAGTTACACTTACTAACTCAAATTTTCGCAATACTTTTGTAATAGCTAATTATTAGTAGATACTTGAGTCTCTATCGAGTCGAACTTGCGATCTCTGAAGCAAAGGTAAATTCCGACCATTATACTAAACGGCGTATATAATTATATATTAATAAAAAAATTTAAATTAATAATTTATATCAAAACTTTTAGGTACTTAAAATATAACTTTTTAAATTAATTTATCTGCAAGGGATGGCTAAATGGGAACTTTATCACTCGCGCTGGCAGCTTATGCCATATCATTAAAAGTTTTATTACATTAAAATTTTTAATAATAGAATATGTGCCATCAATTTATTACTAAGAGGCAGTGGTAGCCCAAGTGGGAAATCGAGTGAAGCGGGTTCAAATCCCGGGTCTCGCAACCTCTGATATTTTCATGTCCGAATTGTTTCCAACATGATTACCACTTGTCTTACGGTGAAGGCAAACATCGTGAGGAAACTTGCATATCTGAGAGAACTGTATAATTGAAGGGAGGCCCGTGCTCAGCAGTTTGGCATTAAAAAGGGCTGAACACAATTTATTATTGAGGTTAATTGAGCAACTGTAACTCTATGGATTCTAATTCTGATATATAAAAATATTAACTAATGGACTCTATCATACAAAACTCAGCTGCTCGAATATAATCAAACTTTATGCTTTGAACCTCAGGAAGTTAAAACTTTACGGAAAAATTGAAAATGTTTTAAAATAAGGTGAACCAGACTTTTTCCAATGTTTACTTAAATGAGTGAATGAATTAAACATGACGGCATTTAATTAAATAACCAGTATTGAAGAAATGTTTTTTATTTAATTTCTTTTTGAATGTATGTAAAAAATCGTTTTAATTTTTTTAAATAACTTCAAAAGTTTGCCGGTTTAAAGTTTTATCAAAATAAGCGGATGTAAAATTGTTGATTGACAGTTTACACAAACCGTCCAAACGGCTTAATGTGTCTAAAGGCTTTAATCTAAAGTAAGAAAATTTAATTGCTTCGTTCGTTCGTCGTTTATCATTTTTCATCTGTTGAATTATGCTTGAATGCTTTATGTACTATTAACTTTAAATTCTTTCAATAAAAAATATATGTATATATGTATATATATATATAATATATATATACATATATACATATTATGTAAATAGACACGATGTGTTTCTGTTCTAATCGTTATCGGGAAAATGGTTTATAATAAAATGTATCAATTTATAAAATTAGTGTATTTAAATTTTTAAATGCTTTCTAACTATATTAATATAATAAAGAGGTAAAGTTTGTGAATTGTGAGTTTGTGACGTTGTAGGGGATAATCTCTGGATCTACTGAACCGATTAAGATGAAAATTGGTAAGAAGATAGTTTGAGACCCTGGGAAGGACATAGGATACTTTTTATCGCGGAAATCATCCTTAACGATGTGAAAATTAGGATGAAAGTTTGCATGGGGAATCAAGCTAGGGACGAACCAGAGCGAAGCGAGGGTGAGCAATGCGAAAGCGTGCTTTTCGCATGTATAAAAATATACGGATTATTAGTTATGCAATCGTTCCTAGATTAACTCACCAGATTAGTTCGTATTTCGATGAGATTTAAGGTTTTTTTTTTTATAAAAACAAATATAGTCGTTTACTAACCAAAACTATTGACTAAATTTTTTATTTGTTTCAAAGAGATATAAACATTTTAAAGCTATGCTATATTATTCTGAATGACTAATTCAATTCATTATAACTGAGTAAATAATGATTAAAACATAACATTAAAAGTTGAATTAAATTGGACTTGTACGCGATGCAAATCGCTGCGTCGGAAATGAGAATGAGAAAGCGGAAATGACAGCGGCCACCGAATTTATAGTAATTCTCATTTAATTTTTGGTTAGATTAATTTAATATTTTCACGAAATTGAATATTTGATTTTCATTTTAAATAGATACAAAGATAAATTATTTAAATTTATATTATGTGTCCTTTGTATTTACGAACTACGAAAGGTTTTATATTACAAAACTGCAGCACCGCTGGTGCGTTGTCACTGATGATATGCCTCTTGCCTGTAATCGCGCTGGCTACCTTATCCTTCAAACCGGAACACAACAATGTAATCATTGTTGCTTGGCGGGAGATATAGATAAGGTGGTGGTACCCATCCAGTCGGACTCCTCAGGCTTGACAAAGTCCTACCACCGGTTAAGCGAAATGCCCATAGGACATATAATGTTAATTAATTGAAACTTCGTTAATTCAGAATTTCCAGACAAAATTATTTGTATCTCAAGTCGTAAATAGTATTTACCTGTTTTTGTTGTTTGGCAACTAAAATAGTTTTTCCATTGTAAACAGCCTTTACAATTAATGGATCTTGACAATTATGGTTTTGTTTAATCAAATTATTTTCCTCTATTCTGTTGTTCTGTCTAGATCATATTTTTTTGGACGCGAACCCATGACCCCTTGGTCTACAGCATTACATTCTATTCACTAGATCAGTGAGTCAGTTATATAAATTATACATTTATATATATACTATACTTAATAATTACTTCACTTACTTCTAGCGTTAGTATACTTGTTCAGTTGTTCTTGTATCTCCTGTAGAGGGAAGGGCGCTAAAGCCTCAACTCGCAGTATGGCGACGTCTTCTATTTTACTCTTGACCCTTTCTTTGTGCAATTCATAGTAATGTTTCCCACAGACGAGTATCACGCGTTTTACTTTTAGAGGATCTGCTATTGCATCTCCTACAATAAAAAGAATTTAAAGCATTCAAAACTTCGGGAGCCAAAAATCAAAATAGGTTAGATAGTTTTAAATATCAAATTCGCCAAAAGAACACAATAAATAAAAAAATATCAGTTCAACACAAACATTTAATCATTAAATTATAAATATCATATTAAGCTATAATATAATAATTAAAATTAATTATAATTACCGATAACAGGTTTAAAGTGTGTGCCCGGCGTGAAATCCGATAGCGGCGACACTGCGTCGGCCATCCGCAACAGTATTTTCGGAGAAGCAACTACTAACGGTCTTCTATAATTTCGTACAATCTAAAATTTAATGTATTTATTTATTTATTTCATAAGCACCCTTATATATGTACATACTAAACATAAACATACTAAATTATATGAAAAGTAACACGCTCACTGATATCTAATATATTTAAACGAGTAATCCTTGTATAGTAATTTAATATAATATTTATTTAGTATTTGTATAATAATTTAAATATATTCGTGCTCATCACACAAATGAATCCTCCCGCTGGGGGCATTCATTTGTGTGATGAGCACGAATGCTTGTATTCTAGTCATGGATGTTTATATTTATAATATGTATGTATTTAAAGTTATATATGTATAGTGTATCAACTATCTGGTGTCCATAACGCAAGCCTCGTAGCTTACCATGGAACTAGATGTTACTTTGTGCTAATATCCCAATACATTTATATATATATATATATATATATATATATATATATATATATATATATATATATAAGTATACAAGAATTGTTCAATAATAATAATAATATAATTGAATAGCTCACCTGTCGTCTCAACAAATGGAAGTATTGAGCAGGTGTCGTGGGGTTTACCACGTGCAAGTTGACCGCTTCCGAGTCGGGTCTAGTTTCCGAACTATCGGTCAACTGTAAGAACCTTTCTATCCTACAGGAGGAGTGTTCTGACGCGGCGCCGTCGTACCCGTGAGGCAGTAACATGACTAGACCGTTGCTTCGAACCCATTTCACTAAAATAATTTATTAGTATAGATAAACTAACGACTCACCTACGCTTCGCTCGTGTTTGTCCCTAGGTACGTTTTAAATGAAAATGGATATAGTATGTTATCTTTAAGAGATGGGCATATGCCATAGCGGACTTTTCCGTAGACCTATATAAGATACACAATTCCACCATACATTATTTTGATATATCTCAAAGAGTTTAGGCAGCGTTTTCTTTGAAAGCTCCCAGACGGCTTATTTTTTCCGACACCTCCAACAAATATCGTTATATTTTAGCCGATGTATACAAAAATTAAAAAATTATATACTAAAACCTTCCTCTTGAATCACTCTATCTATAAAAAAAAACCTGCATCAAAATTTAAAGATCTAAGCATACATAGGGACAGACTGACAGCGGGAAGCGACTTTGTTTTATACTATGTAGTATAGTACAAAATGTAGTAGTAATGTAGTAGAGATAGTAAATGTGATAACTCTTAGAAAAAATAGGTAGAGTGTGTGGAACAAATAAAATGAAGCCAAGCTAGTGTATCCGTGTGTGCGGAGATATCGTACTTTGAGCATACATATAATAACAATTTTAAAGTATGAATAAGTTCTTCTTGACGCTGTGCGTATATCATTTAATCGAAGGAATTGGATGAATGGATTATATCCCAGTACTTATGCACAGCGAAAAAGTCTTAAAAAATTAACTTAATAAGTACTTTATCTTACGTAATTACTAGCGGACCCGACAGACGTTGTCCTGTCTACACGTCTTTAATTTGAAAATTTCAAACTTTTTTTAATAATTTTTTTGATGAAAATTATTATTCAAATTGTGAATCTAAACCATTCCCAGATCCCCTTGAACACACACAAAAAATTTCATCAAAATCGGTCCAGTCGTTTGAGAGAAGTTCAGTGACATACACACTCACAGAAGAATTATATATATAAAGATATAGTAATTGTGTTATTAAGCTAAGGTACGTACCGCACCTTAACTTTATAGCACAACTAGCGACTCATCCTCGCTAACAAAATTAACAAGATGATTAAGGTGTTAGTTAAGTCTAAAAACTAAATATTGAACGTTGATTGTAGATTCAATTATGACTTGTGTAAAGTTATATCTGATGAGACAAATAAATTAAGTTATCCAGTTAAATTCTTTTACGTAAATCTTAAAGGTATTAGATCTAGAAAAGGAAAAAAATCAGTTCGTTTATTTTTTATATATCTACTAGCATTGCCCGCGGCTCCGCCCGCGTTCAGATGATAAAAAACCAAGTTCTTAGGTCTTACATATGAGTATACTCTTACAATGCAGTTTTTGTATTTTTTCTCAGAAATGAGATATTTTCCCGCGGTAAAAAGTATCCTATATGTTGACCCGGATAACCAGCTATTACCATACCAAATTTCTTCAAAATCCCTTCAGTGCTTTTTCTGTGATGCGGTAACAGACAGACAGACAAAATTCTAAAAAGTATAGATTCGGTCTCTGTATCGATAATAATGTTTGTTTCAATAAGATTTTCCAAAAAATATTTAATGTACAGATTCGGCTTAGTTACAAATTTAGTATATGTATAGGTTTATTATGTATTTGGGGTAGGTTGTAAAAGTTTTGATCTAAAAGTAAATATCTGTATACTTTCAAAAGCTTAACGTTTTATAAAGCTTATCTTTTTAAATTACAGTTTGTATTGACTTTCAAAAATTTCCCACCCTCTCGAGTTCAGAGCTAACAAGATTTATGCGCATGTTTTATTCATTTTAATATTATGAACTTTTGCTTGTCTTTATAAAGTTAAATTGATATTTTTGCAGCTTTAGAGTGGTATGTACAATGTACAGAGTACATGTACCATCTATACATATAATAAAATTGTAACTAAGCCGAATCTGCATATTAAATATTTTTTGGAAAATTTTATTAAAATAAAAATTATTATCGATACAGAGGCCGATTCTATAGCTTTTAGAATTTTTGTCTGTCTGTCTGTCTGTTACCGCATCACAGAAAAACCACTGGAGGGATTTTGATGAAACTTAGTATGGTGATAGCTGGTTATCCGGGTCAACATATAGAATACTTTTTACCGCGGGAAAATGTCTCATTTCTGAGAAAAAATACAAAAACTCCAATGTAAGATCATACTAAAATGTAAAACCTAAGAATTCGGTTTTTTGTCATCTGAACGCGAGCGGAGCCGCGGGCAATGGTAGTATACCTAGAAGTATAAAAAAAGAAACGATAAAAATCCTCAATAGTTCTGCAGTTGTCAGTTATTACCTAGTCTGGGACATTTCCATTTCTTGTTTCACTCTTGGTAGATATAATAAAATATTGGTAGATATAATAATAAAAATAGGTAGATATAATAATAAAAAAGTTGACTTTGATATATTAGCAAAAAGAGAGTGTTATAGATTAATATTCCATTTCATGAACATATTTTATCCTATAAGTTTTAGATTTTTTACTGACAAGTAAGGAAGAACATAACAAGGAAAATTATAAATAGAATAATACTTATATATAATATAATAGTCTCTAACCTTCTCCTGAAGCAATAAAAGTGTCGACGATAATCTGAGCTCCATTATAGAAGTCCCCAAACTGCGCCTCCCAAACGATCAGATTGTCAGGATTGTCAAACGCCATGCCGTATTCAAAACCTAATACTGCTTCTTCTGATAATATTGAATTAGCTACCTGAAAGAATAGTATTATTCTTTTTTAACGTCCCACTGCTGGGCACGGGCCTCCCTTCAGTACGAGGGGGGTCAGGCCATAATCCACCACGCTGGCCAAGTGCGGGTTGGCAGACTTCACATGTCTTTCCAAAACTTGCTAGGTTCTCTCAGACATGCAGGTTTCCTCACGATTTTTTCCTTTACCGTAAGACAAGTGGTAATCATATTGGAAATAATTCACACATGAAAATATCAGAGGTGCGAGACCCGGGATTTGAACCCGCTTCACTCATTCCCAAGCAAGCGCATTACCGCTGGGCTATCACTGCCTTGAAAGAATAGGATTGCTATTCTTTTAGGCATTTATTTTACAATTAGCAACTCACATTCAGATTGAAAGTTATGGGTTAAGCTTTCTCAAAGTTTTCTTTAAACTACAAAAACTTAAGAAAACTGTATGATTTATTTTTAAAATTTAAATTATGTAATATGAATTACTACTAGACTAAAACCTACTTCTAAGAATCCTTTCTGATCTTTATGTATATGATTGAGAGGTATATAAATATCTTCTTTTTCTTGATCTACGAGCATCACATGTCTGTGGGAGAACGTACCGCGACCCACGTCCTCTCCACTGAGACGAACATGTCGTCCCTCCATTAGTAGAGAACCTTAGAAAATGGCAACTTTTGATTAAAAAATTATATTAAAAACATTCTAGTTAGTATTATTGTTTTTTTACTAAAAAAATCTTGAGAAAGAAGAAGAAATTATGAATTAGTTACCGAAAGCGAAAGCTTCTGCAGTTGCCCAGTCAATGCCGTTCCCTTCTGCTAGTTTGTTGAGACGGCCTTTGACATGGGTTTTTGCTAGATGAGGATGTATGTTCTGCAAAAATAAAAAAAGCATACTTATTGTGTGGAATTAATATTTTTTACGTCAAATCTTAAAGCACCAATAAAGTCAATTATTGAGCAAGTATCCTAGTTGGCGGTTGATATTACCAGGCTTTGTCTAAACCAAATTCAAATATCTATATGGCTTAGAAATATTTGCATATGCGGGAAACAAACTTGTGATCCGTCTAATAAATAGTATCAGTTAACATATGTATGTATGTCTTAGTACGAGTTACTCAAATATATAACACTACTAAAACAGTTCTTAGAACTATCCTTATTAACATTACTGATGGTGTCTTCATTTTGGTAATGAAAATTGATATTTAAATATGATATTTCAATTATTTTTTTGACACGGACCTATTATCCCTTTGTCCGTTGCCGTGAAAAGGAGTAAAGTAAGTACATAAATTTCTACTTTAGTAATGATTTAGTTTTACTAACAGTTTTTATTAGAAATATTCTGTTATTGTAAGTTATCAGATTTAAAAGAGTATTTTGTTCCTGTGTGATACAATTTTTACGACTATAAGCATACCTATAACTCTACAACTATTGGTATAAATTAAATTAACTGCCTCGATGGTCTAGTGGCTAGAATGTACGACTACAGGTCCACGTTTATACACATGTTTGAGAAACTCTGATCAAAATAAAACAGAAAATTATTAATTATTATAATAGATGTTAAGATTAATTATTCCAGTTTCGAAATAAAATGAAAGCGATTTGGAACAATTACGGTACACGAAAGGATTCGTTGCGTAATAAAATACCGCAAAAAGGTCACAAAGTAAATTCGGAGACAGGTCGTTTAGATGTATCTTTTATCCAAGGTCCCTTGTGTTTTGTTACGTTCAGACTTATAAATATTGTAAGCAACGGGATTTCAAGAGATCACGAGCTTATGTTTTTGATGAAATCTTATTACCTATATAGAATTCCAGTGTCTGTATGTTTGTAATGGTTCTTCTAAGGGGCTTGACCGATTTTGATATTTTTTTGTGTATCACCATCGCATAGTTCTTAGTTATAGTTAGACCTAATATGGGTGGCGCTGTTATCTAATTCCAGTTTTTTTTGGATTTTTCACATAAAAAACGTGTAATCCCAAGTTTTTTGACCCTGACGGGACAACGTTATTATAAAAAAATAAATAACTAACAACTCAATTTTACCCATAATATGCTTATATTATGTATGTATGTGCTTTGTCAATGAAACAAAATTATTGGTTGAAAAACCTGAATTTTAAAGTAGATAATAAAGTCGTGTCATGAGCGCTCTTAAAATGAAATCGAAAATGTGTGAAAAATTGCGAAAAATACTCTATATTAATTTTTAAAGTGATTCAAAAACAGGAGCCAACCTTTATATCTTGTGGATAGCGATAAGCGGAATTAAAATTATTGTATAATATTAATTTCAATAATAATAAGGAATACCAATAACATCTAGGTAACTCTTCTGAACTAACGATCCCAAAACCCAAAAAACTTTTTTTCCTCATGAACGAACAAATACGTAGATATAATTTGCGGCCGCTACCCGGGGGGCGTCGGGGTACACTTGGAGCCAACGCTGAGTGTAGCAGCATGCGAGCCGTTGGTGACGGAGAGTTGAACAGGCGGGCCTCCGTTGGGCAAGAGCCCGAAGATACGACAGCCGACATCATCATTACAAGTGCGTCATCACCAACATCATCAATCAATAGTGTATTCCAATCATCCAGCTCATCTTACCATCCTGACGAAAATCCATCCCGTTCATCTTCCATAACACCATTGTCATGCGACGTTGTGCAGGAAGCGAAAGCTACTAATTCTGTACCCGTGTATGGCACCACAGATATGCGTACGCGTAAAAAATGGTCTAAAGATATGAACATGTTTATTTTACGTACGTATTTCATCATAACAAAACTCGAAACATGTAAAACTAATGATTACCTCACTTTATTACATTCCTTATTTACCAGTCAATATCCGAATATGACAGTTACAAAACAAAGAATTGGGGACCAGCGCAGGGCAATAATACGTAAACAACTTTTAAGTGACGAAGAAATTAAAGAAATAAGGAAACAGGCAGAACATCACTTAAAAAACACAGAAAATCTTACACTCAGCTCACATATTGTACATCATGAGAATTTAACACAGGATACAAATAATAGAATGAAATGGTCAAAAAGCATGAACGAGACCATTATAAAACAATATTACATCATAACGGAATTAGAAATTAATAAAACAGGCTATAGGAAATTATTGCACCAGGCAGTAATAGCAGAACACCCACAGTTGAACCAAGTATCTGAACAGCGAATTTCAGACCAACTTAGAGTAATAATACGCAATAAAATGATTAATGAAGACAGATTACAAGAAATACGAGAAGAGGCGAGTACAGAACTATTTAAACTTAATAAACACGCAAATGATAATAGTAATAATGCTCTCAATTATAGTGGAAGTCATTTACAACCCTCAGAAATTGCTGAACACGATGATGTACAAGTGAATAAGAAACAAAACAACAATAGAGAAGTAATATTTCTATCAAATAAGCAAAATACGGAAAACAGTAGCACCTTAAACCAAGATAACATCGAAGAAGAGTTTAACAGAATATTCATACTTTTTAGAAACACAGACCCTACATCTAGACCATACATCCCAAAACAAAAAACTTCAAGAAAACTAACGTATATTGTAAATTATATAAATAGTAAAGTTTTGCCTAAATATTTAAATACGGACACAGAGTATGAGACACTACAAACACTAATATATACAGCAGCTTACACATCAGCATTACTTAATGGGACAAAATTTAGGATTGATGTATCTGTAAATAAATGTAGTAAGCCTTTTTGGCAAGTTCGGTTAGAAAATTACCGACCCATAACATGCTTACAAACTATTTACAAAATAATCACATCATGTATCAGCGAAATTATTTACAGCCACCTCATTGATAATAATCTACTCACTGAACAACAAAAGGGTTGTAGGAAGAACAGCCAGGGATGCAAAGAGCAACTCACCTTGGATTCTGTAGTTATGAATAGTGCGCGCAAAAATAAGCAAAACATTTATACAATGTTTATTGACTATCGCAAAGCTTTCGATTCGATTCCTCACAGCTGGTTACTCAGAACTCTTCATCTGTATAAAATTAATCCTAAAATAATAAACTTTCTCAATATTACCATGCAAAACTGGGAAACTTCTTTAAAAATTAACCATTTGTCTGAGACAATATCTACTGAACCGATTCGCATTCAACGTGGGATTTTCCAAGGTGACTCTTTAAGCCCCCTATGGTTCTGTATTGCTCTTAACCCTCTATCAGAATTGTTAAATAAAAGCAACATTGGATACAAACTTAACCGTGCGCAGATCGATAGTACTATTTCACATTTAATGTATTTAGACGACATTAAACTGTATGCTTCTAATAGAAAGGGATTATTTAAGTTAGCGGACATCACACAGGAGTTCTCTACGGATATCCATATGCAGTTTGGCATCGAAAAATGCAAAATTCTTTCAGTCAATAAAGGTGTAATAGATAATAACGCATATATACTCGAAACTGGTGAAACGATTGAACCAATGGATGAATTGAGCACTTATAAATATTTAGGATTCCATCAATCTACACAAATCAAGGTAAAACAAACAAAGATAGATCTAATTAATAAATTTAGATACCGTGTAAAACTCATTTTAAAAAGCCACTTAAATTCAAAAAATATTACTAAAGCTGTTAACACCTTTGCCATTCCCATACTCACGTACTCTTTTGGTATAATACACTGGTCACAAACGGATTTACAAAAACTACAACGAATGATACATACACTACTTACTAAATTCAGAAAGCATCACCCAAAATCATGCATTCAAAGGATCACATTACCACGTCACGAAGGAGGGAGAGGATTTATAGACATACGTAATCTTCATAATAAATTAATAACTACTTTTAAAAATTATTTTTATTCTAAGTCGGAACATTCAGCAATCCACAAACATGCAATAGAAACAGACAAAAAACTCACACCACTCAATTTACATGAAAAACAAAAGCAGATTAATGAAAAAATTACAGATGTGACTCAAAAAATAGCGTCATGGGCTGGAAAATCCTTACACGGGAGACACCGATCTCACCTGGAGCAGCAACATGTTGATAAAGATAGGTCAAACGAATGGCTTAGGAGGGGCGAATTGTTTCCTGAGACCGAAGGCTACATGCTTGCGATACAGGATGAAGTGATTGCCACTCGTAACTACACAAAATATATATTAAAAGATTCCAAACAGATAAACGATTTATGTAGACATTGTAATAGTGCCCCCGAAACAATCCAACACATAACCGGAGCTTGCAGAAGTATTGTACAAACTGATTATAAGCATAGGCATGATCAATTAGCGTCAATAATTCACCAACACCTCGCATATGATTACAAATTTATAAAAAAGAAACAGCCATATTATAAATATAAACCCGATTGCGTTTTAGAAACCAGTGACTATAAGCTTTACTGGGATAGGACTATATTAACAGATAAGACAGTACATTATAATAGACCAGACATTACCTTTTATGACAAGAAAAATAAAACAATATTCCTAATAGATATAGCCATTCCTAACACACACAATATTCAGGCCACTGTGTCTGAGAAACTGTCGAAATATCAAGACCTTGCTATAGAAATTAAGACTCAATGGCAAGCCCAAACTGTGCATATTTTACCAATTGTAGTGTCATCCACTGGTGTAGTACCTAAATCATTAGAAAAAAGTCTAAAAATAATAAATATTCCAGTATATGTAATTTATAGTCTACAAAAAGCCGCTATACTAAACACTTGTAGAATTACACGAAAATTTCTGGCATCCTCAACCATTTCTAGTACTTCCAGTCACACTAATTTTTAATTCTATCACACTTGGTTAAGACCCGTGT